CGGAAATGTCAGTTTCTGATCCAGAATTGTCTCAGAAATCCAAAAATGTTACAATATACAGGGTGTTCCATTTAAAAATTCAGAACCGGAGCCATTTCCGCTGAAACCGGAAGTGACCGGAAAGTGAAAAATATGTGAAAACTCTCCTCTCCACATACCATTTATCTGTACCAAATCTCGTTTTGATACACCTAATAGTCTAGAAGTTATGACTTGTCTAATAGATTCGTTAACACCCGGTATATCAACTGCGCATGATCCTGACGTCCTAGAACCTGAATTTCGCAGAACCAGAACAAACCTTATATGAAAATACGAAATGAAAGCTATAACGTTATTTATATGCACGCGCTGCAGGCCCCCGGTCGGTACCAGCAACCGCTGCGTCCCTGCATTTTTAATCTGATATATCTTGCAATAATTGAATAGAACTGGCCAATACTTGATGAAAATCCATATTTAAAAAAAACTAATCAATAGAGATTATTCTATGACACGTGTTTCGCTATAGAATAGCTTCTTCAAGCATAACTGGTTAGTAAATAGTGTGAGTGAAATAGTGAAAATCATAGAATAAACTCTATGCTTGAAGAAGCTATTGTATAGCGAAACAGTGTCGCGGTTTTTGTAAAACCCTTATAGTGAAAATCATAGAATAAACTCCATTGATAATTTTTTTTATCTTGCAATAATTAATTTAAATTACATGCTGTAGAGGGCCATGTTGATCTATAATAAATGCGCAATATTTCTGATGTACTTAATTGGATAAGGACTAATGCTGTATTGCTTAAAATTGTTTCGTAAATAAGCCATTATTTCTCGAGGATATCCCTAAGAGATAGACATATACACATGTGTACTTTTTGAAGACCTTTTTAAGGAATAAAATACTGTGGTACATTTTTTATTTATTTCGTAGGGTTCAGCCAGCCTTTGTAATGTAAGCGCAAAAAAATGTGTTTACTTAGGACATCACGTTAGAAACCTATAAAATTATCAGCGTGTCTCTACTATATTACAAATGTTATATACATATAAACCTTCCTCTTGAATCACACTACCTATTGAAAAAAGCCGCATCAAAATCCACTGCGTAGTTTTAAAGAGCTGAGCACAAATAGGGACAGTGGTTGAGATATGTGTTTTTGATGATATTTGAAATGAAGATTCATCGTCGGGGCACAACAAAGAGAATAGTTTCATAAAAAAAAATCATTACATGTCAATATGTATTACTAGCTAATTTTTCTATTCATTTATAGAAAAAGATGAAGAATACTCCACCAAATACTCAGTTTTTTTGTGAAATGACAGGCTCATTCTAATCTTATGTATTTTTTTTATTTAAGAAAAAATTATAACAATTTTAAAATCGGATCAATGTTCAGTTCAGGAACTGATCACGATTTGAGTGTTGAAATTCGATATTGGTGCAGTCATAATTACTTGAAATTTTTATTATCTGTTTAAAATGTGGCGTCCTTGGACAAGTACTAATAGTAATAACGAGTGTGATAACAACGCAGACTTTTTCCAGTGTAGTGATTCCAATAGCGATGGTGGATAATGCGAAAAAGAGATACCGGTGAATAAGATTCAGATGCATTTGAATACTGAAACACAGAGAGTATGTTTCAATATATATAAGAATCTACATCTCAAGGTTGGTTTCAAGGGAAACAAACTATTACAAGCAACATCAGATTTGACCGTAATTCCTTTCTCAGTTGTTCGTAAAATAGTCAAAAACAAACCTTGTGAACACAAGACGCGATGTTATACAGGATTACCAAAAATCTTTAATGTTCATCTGATAAAAACATTGAAAAAAAAAACAATATACGACTGTTACAAAAGCAATGAGATTCCTATAACTGAAATCATAAGGAAGAAATTGAATACTTTCGGCTATAAAGTGAGCTGCTGTAACAAAACTCTTCAGAATTGAATAAAGAAATTAGGATTTAGATTTAAAATAAAAAAAAAAAGTCGACCAGTTATGGAAAAGAAAAAAATAGTGGAATTGCGTAAGAAATACTTAGAACTAATAACTAAATATAGACAAGAACAACGGCAAATTTTCTTTCTGGACGAAACTTGTTATGACACTCACGACACAGTTATGAAAGGGTGGATTGATGGTTCGAGAATGTGTACGCCTAACATGCCTGCAAACAAAGGATTGCGACTAATCACTGTGCATTGCGGAGGAAGTAAAGGATGGGTTCCGACTATCTTGAGACGCCCCAGCACATCAACAACCTATCACATTCAGGGCCTTTAAAAAAACTAACTTTTTATACAATAGGATGGAATTTTCCAATTGAACATTAATGCTTCGGATTTTTCATGAATATGCTGTGTTATCATAATTGACAAAAGGACCATATTCAACTGATAGACTTCACCTCTACTTGAATATTTCAAACAAAATGATCATTGGTGTAGTCATAAAGAATACTTCTAGACAAAAGACAAAAAGTATACATATGCTCTGTGTCCCAGTGATATCTAACAATCTGGAATTATTCAACATATGTGGAAATGAATATGTGTCTTTTAATAATAATTTTGCATGATCCTTTAGAATCTGCAGTTTTCTTTGTAACCTAAGGATTTCCACGTTCAAAACCGCTACGTGTTTCGCTATACAATATCTTCCTCAAGCATTTTCATACAGGCTGAATTCTACCTAATTTGTACTTTGTATATTAACAATTTGAATCATATTTAACGACTAATATAATTTTACCTATGTAAAAACTAATAAAAAATAAATGAAAATTTAAACAAACTCAATAAATGGACACATAATGAACGAATTACTATTTGTGCTGTACATAACAACAATTTGAGTCCTACGACCTTCTAGATGGATCAGGAGTATACTTTATATTGGCCAAACAGGGAGAACCGTTTGCCAAAGAATGAAAGAACATATGAGTGGTGTCGTGAATGTGAAGACCAATTTCACAATTGCAAATCATGTTTTGGCATGAGTTTTCTCTTTTGAAACTGTTTTTAAATGTGGAAATCGGTAATTACTTTCTTACATGTCCATCCAATGAGTTTTGGTGAAAATTTTCTTCTATAATGTTTAAAAAAATAAATAGTGTTTACCAGAACTCTGGTAAAATTATTGGTCATTACGTAGATGAAAGGTCATATAATTCGAATTATTGGGGTGTGAGTAAATAAGTGTAAAACATTTAAGGTGATTAAAGGGGGTACATAAAATTTGTATAACAATTTTTTTCACAAGCACTATAAAAGTTACAATATTGAAATTAACCTGACGTTTTGTACTACCAAAAAGACACTTAGCCAGAAATTTATTTGGTTTACCCCATGGTTGTAAGGGGTGGAAAACGCAACCCCTAAAATTTATTTCCAATGTAACTTTTTGTCCCATTATTTGTTTACCATTTAAAAATTCATTTCCGATAGCCTGTTTCATTCTAAACAAAAAATGTCTCTAGGGTATTTTGCCCAAAATAAACCAGTTCGCAGCAAAAAATTATTTTACGAACGACTACAGAGATACATCGTCATAAATGCGAACTGGATTTATTGTTATTTTGTAGTTAGTACCTGCATTAAACGATGTAATAAACGAAACTAATTTATTAATAACAAAACACACAACGTGTAGAAATCATAGTAAATGTTCAATATGTCTACCTTCAGACATTACGCTTGCGTCTAGACGTCGGCGCATTGAGCCTCTTTTTTTCAATGAGGAATCACTTCCTTAAATGTTTTACACTTATTCAGTTACACCCTGTATAAAGCATAAATTGACACGAAATTCAGTCAGTATGAAAACACCTGAGGAAGCATTTCTATAGCGAAACACCCGTTTTCATTCCATAAACTGTCCAATGAAAATTTATTAATTCCATTTTTTTCATATTCAACAAGGGTTTTAATTTACTTTCAGAAAAAATCAACAGAAGCAAATTCTATGTTGAATTGCCAGGAGCAGATGAACTCTGCATCAGTATGACAAATTTTTAGGACAGCATTTGAGTTACAACATGAAAGAATAGCTTTGAAATGAAATAAAAGTACTAAAATACAATTTGCTGGTGATCATATTAACATTAAATATATTCACTGAGATTGGACTGAAAAAAAAAACTAAATTTTTTCTATAATTTGAAAAAATTACCAAAATTTGTCAGATGCAGCACGTGGTCACTTCCATTGGTATGAACGGAAACTATTTATTGGAATGTTGTTGACTTCATGAAATACTATCAAGTTAATACTACTGGGTATATTTCTTTTTGTCTGGAAGTAGACATTAGTAATCGAGAATAATTTAGAAACAGCCACACATCTATCAATCTACTGTACATTGATTGTCCCAAATATCTTCAAGGTTTACTTGTCTTTGATTTGTCGTATTGTAATGAGTCTATAAAAATCGTATTTCCTGTTTATACCAGATGCGTCTTGCTTCGATGATTAATGAAAACTTTTCATCACTAGAGAAAAGAAAAAAATTAACGAATATCAATAAAAACTCTCCTCTTCCAGAAGTAGCAGAAAAAGCAAAGTAATCACATTCGGATGACAAAATCAAGATCCGAGATGAATGCAAGGAGTATTTTCTGTCTTCAAATCCTCATAGTTTAAAATCTGTTTTTCCGTTAACCAGCTGTCGCACCCCTACGAACGACAACCCTCATAAGTTGAAACTTGTGCGAGCTAAGGATTAACGAGGTCTTACCTTTTAACGTGTGATTCCTAACACAATGATCTCTATATTCATTTTAAGAGCCTCGTACTGGATTCATAAGCACCGTAATCAACATGACGTGCTGTCATCCTCTAACAATACTTGGTCTTCCCAATAATCCAGTCCTGCATTATCTACAGCCAAAAATAGACTGTAGAAAGACTCTATTATATGTGATAAAAATTTACATTACATTGAGAAAATTGATAGTTCTAATAGATTCAAGTTTAGTGTTATAGTTTTACCTTAACACCATGGCTTCTATAACTTAGACAAATTTTTTGGAACTGAATCTTTTTGAATGAATATGCTGTGCATATCTGTCAATATTGGGGCTCACGTTGTGACATGTGAAGAAATGAAATAAATTAATCATTTTAAAGACAGTAATTTGATAGATGTGTTACTTTGAAACAAAATGAAAATTCAAATAGTGTAACAAGTACTGTTGAAAATATTCAAGAACCCATAACCGGTAATTTGAAGTATATTTCTCTTACCTGGTATAACCCCTGCAGAATGAGGTTCTGAAGAATTTCTGTGTATTTTGTCTATAAAGATTAGTACGTGCATTTAATGTTTAATACTACAGAAAATTAATTATTCTATGAATTTCAACTGATTAATCAGTTCTATTAGTGCAATTAAAATACCAAAATTATTGTGATGTGTTAAAAAATGTTAGTTTTACCTGATATAATCCCTGCAAAATGAGGCTTTCCAGGATTTGGGAATATTTTCCCTGGTCGTTTGTGACCTGACCAAGTCGTTTACGCGCCTCCTCTAGTACGGTACGAACGTGATCTTCCCTAACCTTCAATACTTTCAATCGAGCCTGATTCAACATGTTAGACGATTGGCTGAAAGGAAATATCTATGTAATCAATAAAGAACAATTGGGAGAGGCACATAGGAATGATCTGTCACATGACTACGCTTCACTTACATTTTTTTCTGGAGTTCGACCTGTTTCTCTTTCTTCTCATAATATTCCATAATCTTGAGACGTTGTTGCTGAACAAGGCGCCCCTTTTCAATATTAAATTCTTCCTCGGCCTTGGCATCGATTTCTTCTGCCTTTTCGTTTGCCTCTTGTTCAATGAAAGCCATCATATGCTTGATCTGGAGGGATAATCATTCTTAGTTAACAGTAACAGTGTTTGAAATTACTGCGAGAAAACTTATCGGGAGTTAACAGAATAGAATCGTTATATGTCAAATTTTCCAGATTCATTTTCAGATTTACACTTACCTGCTTTTGTACATCAACGTCGCTCAAAGCCATGGTGAACTTTTTCAAGAAATACTATCAAGAGATATAAGTTAATGAAGATACAGACAACGCCTTCACTTAACAAGAGACACCCAAATTACGGACGTGAAACGCAAAGCTTATTTGATTGATCATATGACTTACTTCTGTTAAGTCTTGTGACTTTTCAGTCAGACTGTCACACTTCACCCACTGAAATTTTGGCAACACGGCAGTGAAAATTCTTCAGAAAGTACGTTTCATTAAAGCTTAACCCAGGATCAATATTTGATCAACCAAAGATTTGATTCGCGACTGGTTTTTTTCGGTGTCAACAGTATTCAACATCGACTGCTATGGTTATTAACCTTGTATTCTATATTGATTATTATATTGAACAACATCATCATAAGTTGGTTAACGAAACACGCGTCGAGAAAGTATTTTTGATCTGGTGTGGGAAAAGTCTTTTCAGTAGAAATAAGTGACAATTCCTTGGTGAACAACTGGCATCAGTGAAATATCTACAGCATTACTCATATAAAAAACAATTCAAGAATAATCTTGATGGTAATGATAATCTTGACGGTAATAATAATCTTGTCAAGCAGTTAAAAAAATAATACTTGGTTTCGCATTTTCCCACCACTCCAATTCAAAAATTTTGTCGATGGAGGAAATTGCCTATCGATATGACGCTTCTCAAAGATACACAGCTGATCAGAATAACTGAATATGAAACATAAGTATACTACTTATTTTTATTGTTTTAAAGTTTGCTGTACCTTTTTTGAATTGTTTAATTGTGAATTCGTTAGAGTAATACTTTTGGTGCTATTATTCGCTAACGAGAAGAACACGGATTCTAAACGATTTGTGAAAACAGCTGACAGAACTTTGTTTTTGTGTCACCATCTAACTATGAGTTATAATAGTTTTGATGAATGTCAAATTTGAACAAAAATAGAAAATTGCAACAGGAAGAGAAAACACGAAGCATTAAATCGATGGAATGATCTATTCCGTTATGGGAAACGGGTAAATATTCGTTTTGAGGGCACCCAGCTATTTTGAAAAAATTTTCAAGTGTACTTACGTATTTTGATGCGTAGATTACGAATCCGAAAGAAAAAAGCGGCGCTCTCCCTTACGGCCCTTCAAAGTTCAGAAAAGGGCAACTTTTCAGCCTTCTTTTTCACTAGGCCACCTTTACACCTTATTCTTCCTTAATTGACACTTTTCAATTCATCAATCAACATTTTTCTTATAAAAAACTTTATTCAAAAACGAATGCTTTTATCAGTCATACCAACTATGCCATTAACCTTAAAAACGTAAAATACAGATATATAACCAAAGAGCAGCTCCGTATATTTTTTTACATTTTTATTGTAAAAAGGTTGATTGTTGAAGTGAAAAGTGTCAAGGAAAGAGGAATAAGGTGTAAAGGTGACCTAGTGATTAAATGCTTGTGTTTTTAAATAGTTTATCTTCTGAAAAAGAAAGCTGAATAGTTGCCCTTTTCTGAACCTTGAAGGGCCGTGACTTTGTAAATAAGGGGGAGCGCCGCTTTTTTCTTTCGGATTCGTAATCTACGCATCAAAATACGTAAGTTTATTCAAAAATTTTTTCAAAATCGCCGGGTGCCCTCAAAACGAATATTTACCCGGAAACGTAGTAAAAACGCAAATTTGTTATGATGATCTTGTACATTTTTTTTACATACAAATTGGAAGAAAAATTCACCCAAAATAACTACTGTCAACTGTCTAATTCTTCACAGAGAGGGCATTTTAGTTGTCAACATCAAATTATCTCGTTTTCTAGGGATTAATTCCATACATCACCTTTTACTCTTTATACTTCATATATTCGTAATGATAGGGAGCGAAATTCTTTTCAGCTCCTATCTTCGAAACAAAGCATCATATCAAAAATTATCATAGGACGAAATATCCTCAGAATAGTCCCATCAAATTTTGCCGCATGTTCAATAAACACCTTGTATATCACAACAGTTCTGAGTATTGAGAAAACTAGTTGACCCCTACGTCAGTTACGAGGCTGGATGTCGATTATGTAACCCAGTTACATAACTGTCGGATCTGGATAATGGTTCCAGTAATCGAGCCCAATAAACTAAAGTTTGTTATAGCGCAAAACCAAGTGGGGTTTGGGTCCAACTCAGATCCACTTTAGTGTGGGCTCCACCTGTAGTAGCAACATGATCCTGGAACTCGGCTGGATAGCCCTGGCAGCTGAAGCCATTAATGGAAAAAGAAGAAGAAAGAAGACAAAAATCAAGAAGAAATACTTTTAGGTCAAGATTGATTTACAACATACACAATTTTAAGACAACGATAAAAATAAAATAAAATTTATCTTTCAATTCTACTTAATTATTTATTTTATTTATATTCTATATTCCGTACGCCACAACTGAATATTCTCTGATGTCAGATCAATAATCGATGTTCGGTAGTGAAATTTGACATCATTTGTTGTTTTAATATAGCTTCCCTGTCAATAAAGAATAAACATGCTTATTTCTCTACAACAACAGCAGCAAAACTCCCAGCAGCAAGCTGTTCAACAGCAAATGCAACAACAGCAGCAAGCCCAACAGCAACAACAAGCTCAACAGCAGCAGCAGCAGCAACAACAACAACCTCTGGATAATATTTCCCAAATAAAGGCTTTGATTGGACCTCTGAGGGAATCACTTTCTGTAACTTTTGTGCACTTTTCTAGAAAGAACTATTTATTTAGGCTTTTCTTTTTCAGACCACAATAAAAACTGCTGCTCAGACTTTGAACCAAAACAGCCAGGTTGATGCAGGTATACAGTGAGTAAAATCTACAGACCTAATGTCACAAAAATCTAACCTATTTTAAAGCAATTACAAAAAAGTGGATTGTCTTACTAAAAATTACTTGTTTCAGGAAAGGTGTTGATGTTCAGATACCTCGTTTTGACAAGAACCTCGAGGAATTTTACTCCATCTGCGATCAAATAGAACTTCATTTGGTAAGGAAGCAATTTATAAATACATATTTCACATGAACAGTTTCAAGTGGCCATATCAAGTAAAGTAGACTGGAACACCAATTTTTGACTTCAGATTGATGAACAGTGCCCGTTGAAACAAATAAATACCTGAAATATTGTTAGAAAAGTCATGAATTTTGTTTCATTTTCAGAAAACGTCCCTAAAATGTCAATCACAGCAAGAGAGCAGTAACAGATTCCTGCCCCTTCAGGTGGCACCTACAAGAAGCGAGAGTCTTGGAATGAATGATAACACCCAATCATACCCACAATTTTTAGCTGCGGTCAATATGCAGGTTTCTTATACCAAAGAAATCCACGATACTCTAGTTGCTGCCGCCCAAAACATATCGCCTTCTGATTGACAACTTCAACAACATTACTGACGTGAATCAGATTATTGAAATAACAATTCCTGTAGGCCTCTAGCAAAATATGCAACAGGAATATTCAACTCACGATTTATATTTCCATCTATTGTGTATAAGATTTATAAGTTGTAGTTTGGTAGATATGTTTGTAATACATTTTTACTACTGTTATAAAAAAATTGTTTAATGTCTAGACAGGAATAAATTCCAATAACAAAACATATTATTATCATTAGCAAGCATGTTACAGTTTCATATCTTTAACGGGGTCCCTCAATCAACAATCAAATTTCTGCTTTACTTTGCCAAGCTTTCGCTTCTAATGGGAAGCTTCTTCAGGGCCTATAATTTATCGAGTTGTGGATTTTTTTTGCCAATGAATAACATTACAAAACATACTTACAGTAAAAATGAGTGAAAGACAATGAATTGAACATATAAACTGTCGAAACAAAGTTAAACATGTATGGATTTTTTTTAATTTGACAAATGGCATACTTTCATTGAAAAATGACATTTATGTGAATACAGGGATTCGGTTTTTATCTCCTCAATCGTCGCAAAACAGCGTTATTTTATGGGTTTCTTCAATTTTGGCAACAGAAAAACTCACAGGGGGCCGAATCCGGTGAATAAAATGGCTTAGGCGTAACATAGTTGTTTTTGGCCAAAAAATTACGAACAAGCAAGCAAGCCATCGTGATGCAAAAGCCATGAATTGTTTGTCCACTACACTACTAAACGTTTTCTTCGTATTGCTTCTCGTAAGCGGCGCATAATTTCAATATATTACTCTTTATTGACCATACAACTACGTGGCAAGAACTGATGCACTATGCCACGGTAATTGGCGCCTCACGTTGGGTGCCAGATGAGCCAAAACGGAGAATCTCAGGGTTTTATTATTGAAAGTGGGTAAGGCTGGCAAAGAAAATGGAAACCGCTGTATTGTCCTTTTATTATCTAGAGCAGTTGCTGAGAATCGCGGATTCAGCTCCACACTAAAAGCACTATTTTTTTATGTACAATTGTGTAATACAAATGTCTTACACAATTGTTTTTCTTTCCATTACTGTAATTTTTCTATTACACACTTGTTACACAATTGTTTCTCTTTCTATCATTGAACTTTTTCTATTATCATTGTTGGATTTCTATGTGGGCATTCACTATCTATGATAGAATATTCTTTCTTTCGCTCATACAATAATACAAATAACGAGGACAAAAAATATTATTGTTTTGAATGAAAAGCCATTGTAAAATAGTGCTTGAAGTACATATTTGTCTCCACTGATTTTCAACTACTTCTTCCAAAGAAAATAAATAATAGTGAAGTACCATATATTAAAAAAATTGTTCAAGAACATTTCACACAAGATTACCATTCAGAAAAAAAATAATACATATTTTCCAAGAAATGCCATTTTTAAGACATTCTCAATTAAACAGTTTTTCTTTATCACACACACACCTCACTCACAAATTGATGTAAAGTTAAGTTTGGACATCTCAAACAATGAAGGAATTACAATGTTGTAAACTGAGTATTTTCTATAAATAGAAAATTATCGTTGCATTCGCTTCATCTTTCTTTCGAGCTTCTTTTGCTTTTTTTCATTCACTTCTGGTTCATTTGGAGCTTGTTGGAAGAAATATGGCTGGAGGATATTTTTCCATGCTATCCAACCTCCTCTTGCTGGAGCTAGAAGCCACAATAGCCAGAAATAGTTGGAAATGCAGGCTGACAATATTTGGCAACCGGCTGTTAAAATTATTATATCTTTGACATGCCTAAAAAAGAGAGCAACTCCAGAAAAACATTTGTCCACAAACGTGTTGAGGTGAAATAAATATTATAGTTCAATTAAGTAATGAGCTTATTAAATTTCATTGCTATTGCTAGGTGATGATGAAAAATTGTTTTTTTAGATCTGGATTGTTTCTCTGAAAGTATTTTATATTTGGTAAGGTAGGACTTCAATAAATTTTGAATACTTTAAAGGAAAGGTATCAAACATCCTGGCGTTAGCTTTTGCTCAGTTGGAAAGCATAAGACGCTGAAGCTTCTCAAAACACTCTATTATACATGATTACAATCTCAGCTCTGTTTGACAAACTCCCCAACCCCCTGTTTCCAGACGAGTAGCTATAAAAATCGAACATGTTTGTAATTTTCTAAGTATGCTAACAGGACATTTTAAAGCTGTTCGTCTCCCATTTGTAGGAATTCTGAAGTATTCATCTGTGATGTATTTTTTGTAAACCAGCTTCAGTAGACTCTTATTAAGAAGCTGGCAAAATAATGTTGATGTTATTAACAGCTTGCCATTCATTACTTACTATTTTGTGATATTTACAACAATTTGACAAGCATTTCAAGTTTCCAACTATTCTATTTCCACTGAACGAGACCTAATGTTTCATCTGTATATAATTTCAACTGACTATGTTTTTATCATTTCAACATATTCATGAATTCAGACTTACTCAGCAATGCCTCCCTCCATATTCAGATCAACGCCACTATCAATCAACTGTCCAGAATCGGTATATTTAGCTTTTGCCATGTATATCATAAACTGGTAACAACCAATGTAGATTGCACTCGAAAAAATATATAATAACTAGAAAAAGAAAATTACTGTAGAAGGATTTGAAAAAAAAATGCTTGTTCAACTCACAATACTTATCGTACTGTAATAAAAGACGAGTATCATCAGTGACAAGGCATTGGCACCAATTGCCATGTTTCTATAAAAGTTTAATGTGGCTACATTTTCTTCCACTATCTGTTTGGCTCCTTTCGTACCCTGTTTCCCTTTTTGTAGAGGCTGGAATAATTTTGGTATTTAATAACATTTTGAGATTTGTTAATTACACAAAACACTTACTGCCATCTCTGATTATTGTTTTTAATAGTGAAAGTTGAATTTTGTAGTCTACTGATTTGCGCAATTCATGACCTGGCAATATTTATACTCATTTTTAAAAGTCCACGTTGGAACTGCTTATTTTCATTTTCTCTTCCCTTTCCCCTAATTCAATTTAATTCACTGTAAACTTAACCTCAAAATGTTTAGACACAGACATTATTCTTTGAACAGGTGAGCTTATTGAGTTCTGACAGGCCGCACTTTGGTTTTTTTCATAAAAATCCACAAGCATTGCACAGTGATTATATATAATAGTGGAATTTATATCTTTTTTGGTGATATCAATGATCATGTGTAGATTAGGCTAGACTTGAATTAGATTATAGGAGAAATACATTCTGGAACGGCTGTTTATTTAATGTTTCTATTGGAAATCAATGCAGTTAATAAGGATATGCCTCCGAGGGAGGCACGGAAAAAATTAATTAGTGCTGACAAGAAAAAATGCAACCGAAATAACAGAAATTTTTTCTTTGCGTCTTTCAACTACAATGAAAAGTTCCTCAATTATAGGAACGTATTTGAAAAAGTACCTTCAAAACTCATAACATCTTATGGTTTGAATATTAAGCATGCCCTGCGAATTGGTAAAGACCGGTAAATATATGGCTGCGACAGGAGTTTTAGTCTTGTCTTGTCTAATGCTTCCAAAATGAAATTTATCAACGATTGATTCTTGTCGCTATCACGTTACCTACGCATATATTACATTTATGAGCGATTCTAAAATGGAGCCTTTAATATTTTGCTACTAAATATCTAAGTAAGAAGATGGCGCTGGCTGGTATTCCAGAAGTTTTGTAATGATCATATATATTTCCGATAGAGATGTTTGCTTAGTGAAAATAATAGTTGTCAATGAAAGCTTTCAATGCTTTTCTGGGACGCTTTTTGTAACATAGACAGACCTGTCAATTAGTTAGTCAGGCCTGTCAATTAGCTCATCAGCTCAAAGTCACAGACTTTTCTGTTCTGTGCTCAAAGTAGACATTTGTCTCTAGAATGCGATTCGATATAAGCAAAGTGGGCAGAGGGGAGAGGAATGAGAGGATACTGTGACACTTTGAGACGTCAAAGTCAAGAATGTATTGGGGTTTCCTATATTGCCTTCGAAAAACAGTGAATAATATTTTTGTATTATTTACTTTCAAGTTTTAGAACAATGATCTACAAGTTTTATGAAATGTTTCCATTATGATTTCCTACTTACAAAATCTTAGATATACTTCAGTTCAGCAATTGAGGGCTATTGAATTTGGATAGTCTACCTGTTCACACCTCACATTTAAGGATAATGATGGAATATGAATACGGCTATGTTAGAAAAGAGTCGGACTTTCATAATAGATGCTGTGGCGGCATGCTGTGGTGCATACGAGACATTTGCGGGATAATCTGTGCAATTTTAACATGGCTCTTGATTTTATATGCAGAGTTTGTTGTTATGTCAGTGATACTCATTCCAAACCCATATCCAATTTACAGTGTTATCAATATGATAATCTTCCAATTATGTGCATTTTTGGCTATAACTTCCCATTTCAAAACTATGTTTACTGATCCTGTAAGTATAAGATAATTCCTGTCATTACAATGAAGTTATTTACAGAACTCGCTCTTGCTTTATCATATTTATATTTAACGAGATTAAATATCTTTCTCATGTGCACTTGAAATTATATTATCTAGAGTCCAAAGTAAATTTTCATAAGACAAGACAGTTATTAAAAGACTAGATTTGTGTATTTATTCATACACTTTCAATCAGTATCAAACATTCTACAGTGATTATATTCCATATTTGTTTATTAGTAACTGTTACAATTAAATGATTTTGATTTAGAGAGAACCAAGTGAAATTTTGGCAAAAAATCACTTCCTCATAGTCAGAATCATATTTATAATGATTTGCTAAAAAGAAAGTTGAAAAATGAAAAAAATCTCATGAAAGTCTTCAAAAAAAATTCTCAGTAAAGAAAACAATCACTACCTTTTTTCAAAACTAAATGTTTCAACAACAATTTCATGGGCATTCCTTTGATATTTTACTGTATTTTCATGTATCCCCGTACAAACATGAGTTTCTTGGTATTTCTAAACTAATTCTCCAAATTGGTTTTATACATGATACTTGACTGTATCATAAGTACATGAAAACCGTTATGATGAATGGACCCAACTTGAAACCTTGTGGCACCCTATAATCAAATATTCCTTCTTTACTTGAGGCTCTTTCTGATTCATTTTCTTTTTGTTTGTAGGGGGCTGTTCCAAAAGGAAATGCTACTAAGGAAATGATTAAACAAATGGGTTTTAGAGAGGGGCAGGTGATATTTAAATGTCCTAAATGTTGCAGTATAAAACCTGACAGGGCTCATCACTGCTCTGTTTGCCAAAGGTATTTTTTCTTATTCTATTTGGAAAGGTTTTGATCCCTTTTTTCACTCAGCAATGTTTTTTCAAGACTTGTAATCTACAGATATGATAATAATGGCATAGTTTAGAAAATTAGTATTTTATTTTGAAACAATATCAACACCAAGACTACTCAGTACAATAATGAACGTTAATGGTCCCCGATTATCTTGTGATGTTGTTAATTTATATATCATTAAGATGTAATAATTCTTCGAAAATATAGAAACTTATTGAATTTTCTTGTCAACTGGTTATTTGAAGGGAGTTTTTTCCTAAGATATATTTCTACCCTTTCGCGCAATACTTTTCATTATTGATCGATTGTTCTAGTACTTTCTTAAGAATAACTGATTTTAAATTTATAGGTGCATAAGGAAAATGGATCACCACTGTCCTTGGGTAAATAATTGTGTTGGAGAAAATAATCAAAAGTATTTTGTCCTCTTCACTGTAAGTAAAACCTTCAAATTGTTTTTTTGTGAAACTTCTTTAATGTTTGATATTTCAAGTCACCAACAACTGTTTTCGATCAATTTTAAGTACAGTAACTTATCCTTTTTCTGTAAAAATCAACAAAAACATTTTATTTGCAACTATTGTTTACCAGTTAGTCAATTGACCATAAAAATTTATGATTTGCCAATAAAGAAACAGATTTTTGTAGGTTTTTATCAAGAAAATACTTTTTCTGAGAGTGACTGTTTTATTTTTATACTTAACAAACTTTTCACCGACTTGTTCTGAGTCATCATGTATGATTCTATTGAAAACTATCTTCCTGTGCCAGAATTGAAGAACTGTCTCCTGACCCGAGCATGTTTTACTAACCAAAGAGCCTCTAATTCTACTTGTTATGTTGTTATGTATGATCGTGAAGAACCAATAAACAATGATTCATTCATTATCCAAATAATTATTATGACCTCTTACTCCAAAAGCTCAGCAGATATGGTGTAGGTGGGGTACTACTGGAATGGATTAGTAGTTATCTTACAAATAGGACTCAAATGGTTAGAACAAATTTTAACTACTCCACGTTATTCGAAGTAACCTCTGGTGTTCCTCAGGGGTCACACCTCGATCCTTATTATTCAATTTATTTATTAACAACATTATTCATTGCTTCCGGCATGCCAAACCACTATTATTTGCAGATGATTTAAAACTTTTCCTAATTATTAAAACCTAATTGGATGCCCATAGGCTTCAGTCTGACCTTGACAATCTATCAAACTGGTGCTCCTTGAATGGCATGGACTTGAATGCCACAAAGTGCCATGTCATGAGTCTTTATTGATCCCATGTACCTTTTACCACTTTTGAGTACACTTTAAATGGTTATGTCTTGTAGTCTGTTAATCAAATAAAAGACCTTGGGGTTGTTCTTGATCCCACCTTGGGCGGTTCAAAACCGCCCAACCCAACAGCAACAAACATTTTATGTACCACTTTATCTTTTGAACCACACATTCAATAGCTGCATTTCAAGAATCTTACGATTATCCCGTAGTAACGTTGATTTTGAGATGTTTAACATCTCCTTGCATCATTTTTTTTAAAACTCAATTACGGAATACTGTGCTTTAATGTATAGTCTATGGTAGTATGTTTTATTGTCGCTCATTGTTTTTTTGTTGTTTCTCCAAAATTAACCCCTTTTAAACTGTAAGTTTACCCATTTTAAGCTATTCTTAGTTACAATTTGTAATTCAGTACCTTATCTGATTGTATTTCAATTATAATTTAACATTGTAATTTATATTTTAAATAGGCTTGCCCGTAAATAAATAAATAAGTTAATAAATTATAGAACTTCACAATAAATTTCACTTGAAATGCTTCATCATTTACTCTTACATCAAACTATTCTCAGAATAGTATCCATAAATTGATTTATTTTTCAAATTAGACATTTATTCTAAATTGTTGCATTTTCTTCTTTCCAGTTTTATATCGCCACCATATCACTGCACTCGCTCTTTCTTGCTATAAATCAATTCCTTATGTGCATCCGGCATGAGTGGAAAGAGTGCACGACTTACTCTCCTCCGGCGACAGTAGTCCTGCTTCTGTTCTTGATGTTCGAGGCGCTGCTATTCGCCATCTTCACTGTGGTAATGCTCGGAACGCAAGTGCAGGCCATTTGGAACGACGAGACAGGCATCGAGCAGTTGAAGAAGGAGGAGGCTCGCTGGGTGAAGAAGTCCAGGTGGAAGAGCATACAGGCGGTGTTTGGGCGATTCTCCTTATTGTGGTTCTCGCCATTCGCGCGGCCGGCTCCTAAGTTTAAGAATGAAAGTGATTTGTATGCTGTGTAAAGTATTATTTATTCTACTTTTATTAAATACTACCCTTTCCTCCTTTTTTTTACGATGTTACTAGTTTTATTGAAAATTGATAGGTCAAGTATGAACGTTTTGAAACATTCATAAAATGAACAAGGGCGAAGACTCTTCCATTACGGTGGCGCCATCTATGGGATAGGCAAAGAACTCAATCCTCTAATGTCAAAGATAAACAAGGCTCCCCAAAGCAGTTAGTTGGAAGCCAAGCTTCGACCACCGATGAGGTTTGTCCTTTGCATTTCACTGCATGGCAATTAGTTGAAAGCTGCAGTGAGAACTCCTTTATCTTTGATATTGAAGGAATGAATTCTCTGTTGATCCCATAGACGGCGTCATTAGGCAGGCTTGTCCTTTATTGACAATTGACTCCAGCAATGCATTTGTGTTTCAGACTAGTACCATTTATGAGACCTATGGCTGGTTCAGTGACGGCTCGTTCATTGGAGAACAGGGGAGGCTAAAGTCATAAAAACTATATACACACAGAAAAGCTCGCTGGAGGCGTGAACATTTTTATGTTGTTGCACGCTTTGCTCAATACTAGAGTTAGGGCATGGGCATGACAATAAGTGCAAGAGGAGCTATGAACTTTATTTTAGTTTGTAAACCATTTAAATGGCCGGCCATGACCGCAGCCCCATCATAGGTTTGCACAATTAACTTTTGCCTAAAATTATAGGTGTCACACGTACGAATTAAAAAATGAAACATATCGTCAGCTGTGCGCCCAGATGAAACATCATGAAAACCCATAAAACGTTCTACCACATTACCATCTTTGACATATCTAAAACCGATTGAAAGTTGTGATGTACTGGTAATATAGGTAGTTTGATCAATTTCCCATGCAAAAAAAGAAACATTTTCAATTTCCTTGCTTATATTTTCCTTAACAATATATGCCACAGTGTCTATAAACTCATTTCGGATGGTTTTTAAAGTGCCCGAAAAAACGCTACCGTTTAAAAAAGTGCCAAATTGTGAATCATATTTGCCCCATAACATTAAAAGTTCCTTGTAATTGCCGCGATTAATCCAATCTTTGGTTTCATCGTGTCAACGAAAAGCAATTCTTGGGAACCCAAATAAATCGAAATATCGATAAGTCTTTCTAAATTCGACCGATTTTCCCTAACCTGACCATTAAAAAAAATTATGGCCTCTTTTTGAGCTTTTTGTTAAACAATTTTAATTTACAAGCCGAAAATATATGCTCCTTAGATTTGAAATGTCTTTCTGTAGAACGAGGTAAATTTTTCAAATCGGAGTATCCTATTTTAGACCACGTTTGGTATTCGGTTTGCATGGAAAATAAAACAAAGGGCTAACAAAAAAGTTTTTCTCGTTTAATGGAACCGGTTAACCAATCGCATTAATCGTACCAGCTAATATTAAATCCTCGATTTTGTCGATTATCTGACGTTTTAATTGAAATCAAATTTGGTTGAGGCCTTCCCAGAGTTTTAATAATGTAAAATTTATTATCATAAGATAAAGACTTAAAATTATTTGTCAGCAACCAATCGACTATATCGTCAGATTTTTTAATTTCGTCCAACTTATCCATAATAAATGAAAAAAAAACTTACCGAAAAGTGAAAACCTGAAAACACCTTGAAATTGAAAGAAAACACATTAAAAATATCACCAAAAAGCACTACTATAATACAATACTGCCTATTTTATACACAAATATTATTAAGAAACACTAAAACGATTTACCGAAATATTTTTCAGTCCCGATCCGTCACGGCATCCCGTCCGAATAATTAAATAAAAAACAAACGCAGTCATACACTAACGAAGACCAACTGGAGGCTAGCCTCCTCTAACGCTATAATTTCTGCAACTGAAATTACAAATCGGGACGTATGTCGCTGGTTGGATCGGTCTCGTGGAGCATGTGTTTTTTAAAGCGGTCGGAGGCTTGGCTCCCTTGCAACGTATGGCATTTATTATTTCCGGTTGATGGTTTATTTGTTCATGGGCGGTGCGTTTGAGTTTTGTTGATGCAGGATACAGTGTGGTACGTACTACGTAGTGAGTGATCGTGTTTTTTCGGGCATATTATGTATTCATATTAAAAATTATTGGTAAAGTAATGGTAACCAAGCATTTTTTAGAAAAAAATAATCATAATTATTTGTCAATATCTTTTAATTTATTGCGATGAATAGCCTCAAATTTTATGGGGAGGCTAAGCCTCCCTTGCCTCCTCTGACTAGCCGCCGCTGGGCTGGTCGAAGCAGCGCTGTTTAGTCTTGGATCACAAATGCGTTGTGCTTGGTGGGCTTTGTTTTTTTCAGTTGGGGAATATCCCTTATTGAGTTCAGTAAACAATCTGAATTTCATTTTTTCCTTTGGAACTTTCTCCAAAACTTTTTAAAAGATCACAACCACTTCTAATGGGTGCTGGCTCTAGTCTGTTATGAATTTCCATTATGCCTACATGCAATATTAGAATCCCTTCATCTGAATAGGATTTCCATCAACATGTGAAAGATGCTCTCACTTTATTTGTTTATTCATTTTAAGAAATCATTAAATAAAATACGAGGGTGGTCTGAAAAGTTTCCGACCTTAACATGAAGATGGCAGCACTCGTAAATAAAAACTAGTAAATTCATATGTTGACAGTTACTCACCAACGTTTCAGACATTTTCGACGCGCAGTTGTAATGTAATAGTCGTTTTAGTGAGTTGATGCGAGCGTTTTTATGAAAATGGACAAATTCGAGTATCGATTTGTCATTAAATATTTGTTTTTAATAGGCAGTACATCTACACACCTCAACAATTGCCACATACACGAATTACGGTTTGAACTGCTTGACATCCACCTTACTCACCAAATCCAGTCCCAAGTGAACTCTTTTTGTTGCCTCATCGGAGGACACAGTTTTTCGTCAAATGAAGAGGCAATCATCTTTGTGAACAATTATTTTGCAGAGAAAAACGCCGAGTACTATTTGGACTACCCTCGTACATATAGTGTATTCTCAACTAAGGTAGAGAATGAAACCAAATAAACTCTGGCTTTACACAAATATCACACAACCCTTTTTTGAAGGACGATAATAGAATTTATTATTATTTGAGAACTTATCTCTCAGAAAAAAATTCCACAACGCAGTGCATTTTTGGACTAATACTGCACTCAGTGTTGTAAATAAATGTTTAACAAGATCAGCAAACACTTGTGATGTTTTAAATATGTATTAGTTTTTTGTAAATTCTGAATAGATAGTGGTATTGACGGTAAGTACGATTGGAACACGAATTCGGTTAGTTAGGTTTCTAAGGACGAGGGCCTGTTTTAATTAAAGAAAGAAAAATTACGCTCCTACTGAATTATAAGTGTTTTAATAGAAAACGGTAGAAAGAAATCTGTACAGTTATAAAAATTTACAAGCAATTAAAGACCTTAAATAATCACAAAAACACTGGAATGAATAAAGAGTAACCTACTGTGAAACCAACAATTTCAACAGCCCAATAACTTATTGTCCTTTATGTGCACCTCGAATAAATAAACAGATGTACTTTCTTTATTCATTCAAACAACATTCGGCTCTTTCCAAATACAATTTCTCTCTCAGTCAAGTTACAGGGTATGAGAAAACTGGAAAAGCTCTTCAATCTCAAAAAATATACGTAACGTTCATTATTCTACTCCAAACAAATTTTTCACTAAAAATTCGTTCCTCAAAAAGTCATTAGTATGAGCTTTAGTATTGATACAGCACGATTAAATTCACATATCAACTCTCCTGTTTTTGCGCTTTTTCGGTTTGGTACCCGTGTTGGTTCCAGGAGTTTGGGATTCTGAGTCGGTACCAGAATTGTGATCCCCAGACTCTTTAACAGCATCATCGACAAGATCGTCTTTGATATCTTCATCATCCTGAAAAAAAAATGTGCAATTTGCATTTTAGTTACACTTAAAAAAAAACAAATATAGTCAAAAGTTTGTGCACATGTTCCAATCCAATTGAAGACCAAATAAATATAGTTTAAAAACTAAAAAACACGCTTTTAGTTTTTTAAACTATATTTATTTTTCATTTTGTAGTTTCATATGCTATAAAAATCGTGTTTTTTAGTCTTTTTGAACTATATTTATTTTATCTAAACTTTGGGATCAATCAGCCGTATATTGTTTAGAAAAATGACCATTGATATTTTCCGATTCCGGAGAGGGAGTCTGAAAATCAGCTACCAAGCCCAAGGCAGCAGGCGCGCAAAGGAGGGTTACAAATAAGACAGCAGGCGCGCGTGTTGCGCCATCTGCACGCGAATAGATCAAGCAATAATGTTGATGTATCAAGCAGGTTACATACAGCGCTATCTGGCCGCGAATAGATCAAGCAATAATGTCGGTAATTCTGTCCCGAGCTTGAGAGTTACAAACATACATACACGCAGGTGAAGCTAATATAAAGCGTGTCAAAAAAGGAAACTGTTTTGTATTTATTCAGTGTCCTATTGTTTTTTCAATTCTAGTTGGTTTTTGAAAATTGTGCATATAATAGCAAAACACTCACCAATTCATCACCACTGTCTTTATCCTTCTTTTTATTCAGTTCACTTTTGGACGAAGTTCTTTTGGGAGGATAGATGAGATCGATAGCGCAAACCAAAACCTGAAACGTTCCAAACTTCTATTTGCTTTCTGTTCAATGATTGAAAAAACTTTAGCAAAAATTATGAACATACTATGGCCTGATTATCGAAATAATTCTTACCAATCCAAGTAGGGCTCCTAGGAAAATGGTGGCAACGGCAAAAATCAGATAAGATACAAAGCTCGGCAAACCATATTCTTCGGTCAACTTGTTATGGATGTGCTGAGGAAAAATACAGATTAATGGCTTGGGAAATAACATTAAAATCAAACATAGTTACCCTTAAAAACTGAGAGAGCTTGAAGAATGAAGAAACGACACCCATTTGAAATGAGTTGGGAGATTTCCAGTTTGGCACTGGCTCTACCTGCTCCCATTTCTTGTCTTCTATGAATGAGCTGAAGGAGTCTTTATCCCTGACACCTTTGTATTGCCTGAATTTACCATCGATTACACTAAAAAATAATGTAGGTCTTTTTGGTTTAAGAAAAAAAAATAGAGAAACTTTCGAAAATAAACCAAATTCAGAATGACTGAGTTGTAATCACGGTTCTGGCTCTACTGGTATTCATAGCAGTTTTAGAAAAAAATTATTATTGTTGTCATGTCATTCCAACACCGATAAGCCACTTCCGCTCCAAAACTCTTATAGATCATCTACTATTGCATATCAAGTTCCATGAAAAAATAAAATATTGGAATAAGATCTCAAAAACTGTTACATAGTTGTTGGGACCCAATTTTGGTTTTTGGGCTTGCCTGCCTAGTGGATTGTATACTATTAAATAATGCAAAGTAGGTAATTAAAACCTTGCAAGTCGCTATTGAAAAGATGAATAATTCATTGAAAAATATTGAGTTGTACCTTGGAATAAATAAACTGAATTTAATATCACTAAAACTGAGGCGATGATCATTACAACAAAGTATAAACAAAATAAAATTGGGAGAAACACAGTCAAAATTAAAATTAACGAAACTGATGTAGAAATAGTGAGTAAAATTAAGTAAGTATCTAGGGTTCATTGTAGATAATACTATTTCATTGAATGATCATGCTGACTATGTAATAAGCAAAATATCAAAGAAACTGTATTTTTTTTCTAAAGTGGTATCTATCTGTATTATCAATGTATGCCAAAATAATGTGCTATAATTGTATAATAAAACCTCATTACGATTTTTCCGGGACTCTCTTATATCTCTTGAATCAGAACAAATTAAATCAATTACAAAAATTACAAAATCGTGGAATGCGAATAATATTACTCTGCAATAGAATGACACCTATACATAATATGCTCTGTAGTTTAAGGTAGCTTAATGTCTCTCAACGATTGTATTATCAAACTATATTTATATTTAAAATAATAAATAAATTGCAACCAACATACTTAGTAAACCTTTTAATCACAAATAGTGAAGTACATCATCATGATACTGGATCGAACACCAATTTTTACATCCCAAGGACAAATTCACGTAGCAGTATGAACTCGTTATTTTTCAAAGGTCTGGACAGTTTCAATAAACTACCAAATTACATAAAAAACTCTTCTTCTCTCCGTCTATTCAAGAGGGACATGGAAACATTCATAACGAAAAACTGAATTGAAGCTAATTTATATTTAAAATATATTAATAACTAAGACTTTGTTTTGAATGAATATATAAGTAAATATGTAAACGTGTATCCTATATATGATATGTGCGATATAGTTTTCCTATCTGGAAATAAAGGTATTCTTCTTCTTCAAAAAATCAAGTAACACATTTTATTCTGTCACACCTTGTTTACAGATTTCACAAAATGTCGAATACGACAATTGACTCGATCAGTTTAATTTTATGTAAGAAACACTATCACTAAGCTTATACAAATAGGAACTTTTGATATTCTGCACTAACACTTCTTACTTAACTAGACCTTTCTTACTTATTGCTAAAACCATACTGCATGAACTAGGGTACTCTTCAGCGAGAGATAAAGAAAACATGACCCACGCTATTGGTTCCCTTGACAACCAGACACAGACATTACACAGAGGCGTAACAGTGTTTAGAAAACTCAATTTTAATTTTTTTTTATATTCCCAACTATAGTCATCAAAATTGCAGTTTCGTTGCCAACTGTTTTTTATTATAGGGTATAGTTGAATCAATCTTTTTCAAATATTTTAAAAAAAGTCATTTTTTCTGGGGACCTTCTAAAAACTAAAAAAAATGTTACAGAGAACAGAGCAAACTTTTAGTTCATCTCGTTAAGTTACTGCATAAATTCAAAGGATTTTCCATAAAGAAAAGTTACTACTATAATATACACAAAGTCTTATTAAAGACTGGATAAACTACATTTTGACCTTCGTCAAAGATCGAGAAGTGATAACAAAATTCACACTGATCTGAAGGATATTGAATTTTCCAATTACTTACTGGAAAATGGTTGGCAGAGCAGTTACAATAAATCTCCCACTTAATCCGGGAGAAGTTGTCACATCAACTGCACCAACTTTGATACCTAATCCAGGACCCAATTCAGCGAATTCCTTCCATTTCTGTTCCAGAGCTTTGCAAGCAGGGCACCAAGGGGCATAGCTAGAAAGTTCATAATTAACATTTCGGTAAAGAATCTGTTGAATATCAATCAATCGAGCTGTAAACAGCTATTACATCAAAATACTTAAGAACTAGATATGAAGGAGCTTGCGAATGATACATGTAAAATGGTACAAATTAATTCTGTATAATACACAAACATGTTGACGAGTCACATAGTTTCTAATAAAGTGGACATAGATCTGAGAATCTTGTGTTTTTGAAGTACAGTCTACACGATTTTCAAAATTTTAGTTTGCAAAGGCTCCTCATAGTTCATTTTTATTGCACAATCAACTGTTACAAACTTCCCAAAATGAAATAACATAGGTGAATGTGAAACTATGAGGGCATAATACACTTATTTTGCAGCTGAGTACCCCAATTCGTTTGGGATTGAGCATAATAGAGATCAATTGCTAAACATCTGTCTCTCAATACAGAAAATTCAACTAACAAATCAAATTTATTTAGGTATTAAAACTAACAGGAAATTATTTTGGGCGAACAAAATGGAAATAACAACTTCTTGATAGGAATAATTATACCCATACAACTAATGAACTATGTGGGACGATAGAAGCTGATTTTCATTCCTAAGTTTTGTCCTTTTTTGATCCAATTTATAAATAAATGAAAACAGTTCTGGAACTCAGCAAGAACGACAAGGACACAACAATGCCACTCCGATTGTTCACCGAAACTCGGTTTCATTTAAAAACCAGTATAAATAATGAATATGCCTTCTGAAATTGCTCTTGACACGACAGCAAAATGCCGAATTAATCATGAGAAATACCAAACTTACAATTCCACTAGCCATTCTCCCTTGAGGATTTCGCTCCAATTATCCTCATTTAGTTCAATTACAGTTTTTTGTCCATTTACACTAACGAAGGCACTAATTATTGAAACAATTACACAGAAGGTGACTTTGCCAAACGCCATTACTAATTTATTTGCATTTCATACTTTTTTATAGCTCGTTTGACGTTTTTGTATTTTTTTTTGACACTGACGTGATGGAAAGTGTTATCTTTTTGTTCCTATATGCTCTTTGTGACTCGGAACATGCCAATGAAACGATGATCTTTATTTCCAACCCCAAAAAGGAAGGGAAAAAAATAAATATTGATATACATCATTCATTTATTAAAAAGGAACAGCCATAAGAAAAACGGTTGAGTTTTACGAAGAATAATTCAGATTTATTAGCTCAGATTGTGTGGGAGTATTTCAGCTATCAGAACTGGTTTATTATTCGAAAGAGCATTAGTTGGGTTCGGATATGAATATTCCTATGAAATTATTTTATAGTACACGTGACGGATGATAGGATACGTTCAGAATTCTGTGGATTTGGGGTCAACTTTTATTGATTCATTGGCCTAGTGAAAACATGCCTTAACTATTGATAGCTTCGAATTTTAAATCCTCAATGAATTTGCATTGCACTGACTCAAATGCTGAAGTATTATCAATGATATATATTTAGATCAAATGTTGGAATTATTGTTGCTATCAGTTTATATGTTCATCTGCCCAACACAGATGTTGTCTCTAGAAGCGAGAGAGAAAGATAGTTTAGAGAGAGACAAAAACTTCATTGCACACGTTGTAGAAACAGATTATTGAGAATAGACGACCAGTGAATGAATGAAGTGTTTTTTAAAAGGAAAAATGAATGGAAAAACTTAGGGTAGCAGCATTACCTCCAGGAAGACAGCGGCGCCCCGGGTGGAGCTTCTATTCACTAGGGACAAGAGGAGTTCTGGTCAAATGCTCTCGAGTGAGAAGAAACGGCCATAGAAATTAAAGAGAGAGAGAGAGATGTGATTGAGGTTAAGTTTACTTCATTTCTTCATTACTTCACATTTTCACATGTATTTTGTTTACAAAGAATAGTTCGAAGAAATTTTTAGGATTTCTATAGATTATTTCAAATATTCAAGTCTTCAAAACTACTAACTACTATGAAAAAACCCAAGGGAAAAACAACCTCAGCGAATTCCTCAGCTGTAATGGAATTTGGTAATGATTTTACTCAAGAACAAGAAGAAATGAAAAAATGGTATGAAGAGGTAATACTAATTTTCTGTCTGAATGAACTATTAGAAAGAAATCGTTAACAATCGTTTTTTGTCATTTCAGCTCGGGGAGGATCCAAAGAGTTTTTCCAAGTCGACAGAGCAAGTTTTGATTGACCTGAAAGATGAAGCGAAAAAGTGTCATGATGCAGAAGTTGCTAATTATAATATCAGTAAGTTTTCACAGATGAATTGAATTTGATAGCATCATTTTCCTTAATGTTTTTCCATCTGCAGAAAATTCCAAAACAAACTCAAATTATCAGTGGATGAAAACAGTTATGTCCAAGGGTACCGTTTCTGATAAAATAGCTGCTCATGTTGTTTCCATTCAAGATAACCCAATTGCAAATTTGGAAACTATTAGGAATCTTGTTGGAATGGTCAAAGTAAGCAAGAAAAAGGAATGTGTGAAAGTCATGGGTACGTAATATAAATAAGAAGTATCTTTCTAGTATTTTGAATTGAAAAATGGGTAAAATTTTGTTTGGAATTCCCATTTTCTGAGTATAGTCTTTTGATAAGGCAAGGAGTACAAAGTGTACTAGATAAAAAAGTCTTAATAATATTCATTTTGCTAGTTATGTGTTCTATTATATACTTTGTACAATGAATAACTAGTTTCTGGATTTTTAGATGTTTTGTAACTACATATCTCTATGAGAAATATCTTTTCAGAGACACTGACGGAATTATTTTTATCTGACCTGCTGAGACCTGGTCAAAAATTGAAGCCCTTCCATCAGAGACCACTTTCCAAGTTGAATGACCTTTCCTCTGGTAATGCGGTGACTAGAAGAAAAATACTAAGCTTTTGGTATTTTGAAGATCAGCTCAAAGAAATTTACACTTCTTTTGTATTGGCCTTGAATACTGTGGCACACGATACAGTCGATAGTAATAAAGACAAAGCAATCACTGCTATGTATAAGCTTTTGGCAGATAATCCAGAGCAAGAAAAAGTAAGTAGGACTCTGAGAGTTTGTCACAATTGAAATTGTACTTTTTATTTCAGAATCTGCTCACATATATCATCAATAAACTGGGAGATCCTTCTCAGAAGGTTGCGTCTAAAGTGATATACTGCTTGACGCAGTTGTTATTCAAACACATCAATATGCAAGTGGTGGTGTTGAACGAAATCGAAAAATTGATGTTTCGACCCAACATTTCTAGCAGGGCACAGTACTACGGTTTATGTCTCTTATCCCAGTACCATTTGAGCCACGACACTGACGAAGTCGCTAGGAAACTGATTGAATTATATTTTTCGTTCTTCAAATCATGTGTCAAAACGGTAGGTGAAAATTGTTGATAAAAAAAGTACTTGAACAAAATCTTTGGGATGTTATACGATATTTTTATGTGTTATTATTTTTCATAGGGTGATGTGGACAGCAGAATGATGTCTGCGCTTCTCATGGGTATGAATAGGGCTTACCCATATGCAAAAATGGACTACCCCAAAGTGTCTGAGCATATAGACACCATGTATAGATTAGTTCACATGGCCAATTTCAATATCAGCTTGCACGCCCTGGCGCTTCTTTATCAAGTTTCTGATTTTGGAAATAATATATCAGACAGGTCAGTCTAAAATAAACTCATGTATGTCTTTGAGCATTCATTGTTATTTTAGGTTTTATGGTGCTTTGTACAAAAAGTTATTCGATACACATTTACTGAAAACGACTCACCAAGCCATGTTGCTGAGCTTAGTATATAAAGCCCTTCTCAAGGACAAGGAAATCAACAGAGTGAAAATGTTTGTGAAGAGATTGTTGCAGGTAAAACGATCAATATTTGTCTATTATAATAAAATTATGTGTTCTTTGAAACTTTTACTGATTGAAAGAAATGTTTCACCAACATTTTGAAAAAGCTGACAAGTTGATGAGTTTACTTGGTCTCCTAAATCATCATGAAGTTTTGAATGTCTCGTTGAATTTTTATTTTTTCATTTGCAGATATCTCTTTACACACAACCAAGTTTTTCATGTGGAATCCTCTACCTCATCTCCCAGCTTTTGTCTAAAAAAGAGAATGTCCTCAGCCTCACGTTGAGTCAGTTAACAATTGATGGTTTAGACGAAGACGACGACGATTTTGAAGAAAAATATGGTGCCAATGCGAAGGATCAGGTTGATGCGTCTGTTCAAGAAATAAAGGAAGAAGTTGAGGACCCTGATTTTTCTCAACAAATCACCGAGGTTAGTTATAAATCTGAGCAAGATTGACATTTGCATTGGAAATTTTGGAAGGTAAATCAAATTTTTACTGAAATGTACATTGTGTCCATGATAAGGAGAGCCAGCATGGGAAAATCTGCACCATCTAAGATACAGAGTTGCTTGGATTAAGAAAAAGTTGCCCATTCTAAAAGTTGTTCAAGTGACGTTTTGAAATTTAGGAGAATTTGATTGTGTCAGACATCACTAGAATTTTAGATGAAAATGCTAACTTATATTTCTTCCAATCAAAATGATTCATCGTCCGATTCTAACACTAATCTGAAAGTATTGATAGGCATTGATTTTTATTCAGGTTAATGATTCAACTGTTATTGACGGCGACCCAATTGAAATAAAAGAAGAAGATGAAGACGTAAAACCCGACATCCAATCACTTGAGAACTCCGGAGGAAGTTGGCATCACCTAAAGATTGCTGTCAAGAAAGAAAAATCTCCCACCTCGAAATACAACCCTTTCGCAAGAAACCCTCTGTATGGAGGTGGTGAATTTTGCGCTTATACCGAACTGCGCTCTCTTGTTAACCACTTTCACCCAACAGTGTCCCTTTTCGCTTACAATATCTTGAACGGTGAGAGGATAAACTACACGGGAGATCCGCTAAAAGATTTCACGCTGATAAGGTTCCTGGAAAGGTTCGTGTTCAAAAACCCGAGGAAGGTGGAAGAGAAGCCTGGCAAGCATCCAACTTTTGGTAAACGGAAGCTGTACAGGCCTAAGGGTATCAAGATGATCCCTGTCAAATCTGCGAATTACGTCAGGGAGAATCCCGAAAATATACCTGTCGATGAACTGTTTGTACACACGTAAGTTATCTTTTTACTCACTGTTCTTTATTGAATTAAATGATAATTTCTTAAAAAAAAAGCTTTGATGTAGCTGGGTACGCAATATTAAATTAATTTAACACATCACTTAGAACCGGTGTGTTTCCAGATCAATTTAAGATTTCGACTGTTGTTCCTGTACCGAAAATTAACTCAATTAAAGCTGAACATTTTAGACCATTAAATATACTACCAACTCTTGAAAAAGTGTTAGAAATGTCTGTATATAACCAATTAATTCAGTACTTTAATACCAATAAATTGTTTATAGGCAACCAATCAGGTTTTAGAGCTAGACACTCATGTGAAACGTCTCTTCAATTTTTAATAACTGAATGGAAAAATACAATTGATTGAAATCAGTACATTGTTGCGACATTTCTCGACCTTAAAGGGGCATTTGAAACAATTGATCGAAATATTCTACTTGAAAAATTAAAATATTATGGGATATCAGGGATTGTTTTCGATTGGATTCAAAGTTACTTATTCAACAGAAGACAAAAAGCTAAATTTGGAAAAGAATTGTCAGATGAACTTATAATTGAGAGTGGCATACCCCAGGGTAGTGTGTTAGATCCATTGCTTTTTATTATTTACCTAAATGATATTAATCACATATCTGGATCACACTGTATAAATCTTTTTGCAGATGATACATTGGTTTATTGTATACATGAATAATAAATAAATCATATATGGTGTAGCCTCAAATTTCTTGTTCATTTCATCAGTAACTTTTTATATTTAATAACTAGCAAACCGCCCCGGATCCGCACGGGTGCAATGCTGATACTAACCATAACCACTGATAGACATGTACCATTGGGAACTTTTTCATAGACCTTGTTTAACTCTGAAACTTCATCATCGAAGATTTTGCTGGAGAAGTTTAATGTTGAATATAATATATTTTTTAAAAATATTTTTGTCATACCTTTCGAACCACTAGAATCACTAGATATTCACCTACGCAATCCTATATTTTTAAAAACGGCTTTCCAAGGAGAAATCACATCTCTCGAATGAAAAATTCAATGTTCCATGTTGGAAAAATCAAGAAAAAATTGTATGAGTTTCGATTCACCTTTTTTTGAAAATTAGATTATGGTCAAATCATTATCCAATAAAGAAAAAAAACACATCTTCATCTTAGTCTTGTAGAAGAAACTCCATGAGTTATTTTTTTCATTGATGGTCTATCACAAGATCATGATTGCATGGAAGTTTGTTATAAGATGTTGAAAAGCAGAATATGTTGATAAATATCTCAAAGACATCTAATAATTTTTATTTTCTACTTCAGCTACCTACAACAAAAATACCAAGAAAAGGATACCGAAGACAATGAAGATAGCGATCTTGAATCCGTTCAGAGTGAAGAATTTGAAGAAATGCTCGATAAAATGGCGGGTGTCCGCGAAGCAGATGACAGCATAGACTACATGAATGAAATAGGAGACAACCTGAACCGAACCGATAAAAAAAATAAAAGTATGTGATTCATTTCAATAACGTTGAACAATAATCAGTTTATTTATTTTAGAAAAAACGAGTGACGAGGAAGAAGAAGGAAGCGAAGGATACTTATCAGATCAAGAAGAAATGGATGATGATCTTGATGATGATGACTTAGATGATGAAGAACTAGATGACGAAGAAGGTGACATCGATGAAGAAGAATTTGATGAAAACGACGAAGGTATTTCTCTACATATGTAATATATGAATGTGTTGTTATCAACAGGATTTTTGCAGAACTGTTAGGGGATCTAAGTGATGATGATGATGTAGAAGACATGGAGTTCATGGACGAGGAACCGAGCAACAAGAAGAGGAACAAGTTTAAGAAGAGGGGAGATGACATCATGTCTCAGTTTGCTTCGGCTGAAGAATTCGCCACACTTCTTGATGAAGAGGGCAGTTCGAGAGTTAAGCCTGGTGGTTCAAACGTGTTTGCCAATAAAGATCATGCCAGTAAGTTTCGTGAATATGATTTATTTATTTGTAATTGTACATTCTGTCAAGAAAGTATAGAGAATCGGTCATTGTGAAAGCTCACGTGTAGGAATCGTTGAAATTATTTTTGCAGCTAGCTTGGCACACCTGAGCTCTATACTCCAGTGGAGTTGCGCCATCTGTCATTTAGTTTGGTTACAGTTCTCAACTTGTTATTCAACCTGTAGCTTGTTTTGCGTTTTCAATAATGGATAAAAATATCGAACAAAGAATTTTTCTCAAGTTTTGCATTGCAAATGGAATTTCGTTTGCTGAAGCGCTGAAAATGTTGAATTGATGAGGGGACTTTATTTAAAAACACGTGTGTATTATGTCGAAAAGGGATGAATTTGGATGAATAATATATATTTTCATTTCATTGACCAACTCCTGGTACTTTTGACATTGTATTAGTAGTATTTTTTGCAAAACTTTAAAAAAAAGAACAGATCATCTTGTAGAAAAAGCGATATTTTTCAAAAAGAGACAGATATTGCTGGATAGATACAAATCTGTAGTCAAGTTTTTGTTCTGTACCTGCGTCATTTCAAAAAACCTGCCATTTCTGATTTTTTAATTTTTTCCCTTTATAAATTTATTCATTTACGACAATGCCTATTTTTTACAAAATAATTAACAAGTTCACACATATGTATTTAACGGTAATCTAAGCTAGGTTTAAGGAAAAAATATATAAAATAAATCGTAAAAATAAGTTAATGAATTAAAATGTTTTCACAGTGTTTTAAAATGTTTCCAAAAAAGAATTGAAAAATTCTAAATCTACATTGTATGTATGTATTTGCAAGTCTCAAAATTCTACCTACAGATTCATAGTTGGTGCGACAAAAAAGTGTTTTGAACATTTCCGAATTTCTTGTTCTCCTTAGATTCACATTTAAAGTTATAAGTTCGACAAGTTCCGGGGAATTATTGCTACTATTGATTATTTTATGTTTATTATTCGTCAGTTTTTATGCAGAGTACCTTAAAAACTTAATATTGAACATTTTCAAGCATATTAATATACACATGATATGAAGGGCACCAAATTGTAGAATGGGGAATGTTCCTCAATTTGGGTCATTACAGCAAATGCAAGTTTGAATAAAATAAAGTTGAGTTTAATTCATGAGTTTTTCAAATTCACTTCGAAAAGTATTCAAATTGATGTTTTAAATGTTCGGTTTTAATTTTTAAAGGGATTTGTTTCTAATTCACATATTGGCAACACCGCCTATATCAAGTTGAAATAATTTATACGTACCTAGATATTCTATTTTAAAAAAAGGAAAATCATCTTTATTAATCAACAATTAAGGCAAAATATAAATTATAGTTCAATACCACCTCCACAAGCTACATAAACAACAGTTGTTTTGTTATTTATTTATATAGAGGAAGATAGGTTAGGTGCACAAAATGTCATATGTCGCAGAATGTCTCGGAACTCAAGTGAACAGAACAGCACGCCTCTGAAATATGTCATCTTTGTTTGTCTCATACAGGTTACAGATTCATTGTCCTTCATTAGCTTTAACCGATGTTGCCAAATGGTGAAACAGAAACGAATCCCTTTAAATGTTGAATGCATTATTTCATTCCTCTTTTTTAAGTATTTAAATAATTTTTTAAAGAAGAATGTTGAAATGATAAGTTTAAAATGCATTATTTTAGAGCTCTTTTATGAAAACTACTTGATTTTCGTCAGGAGGAACATTCCCCATTGTATTCGATTATTGACCTAACAATTGAACAATATATGATTTTTATTGAAGTGAGATAATTCATTTGCAGATCAAAACAATTAATATATCTGTTGAGAAGTAATTTTTCCAGTGGCAAGTTTTTCACTGTTTTTTTTTTGTGTGCATTATTCCATATTTGATTCATTTTTTTACAGACACGAAGCAGTTGGCTTGGGAAGAAAACAGGAATAGGTGGATCAAAGGGTTCAGCAGGGCGGTAGGAGGAAAAAGCTCCAGGGAATTTTCACAGAAAAACAAGGAGTTCCCCAAAAAGCGAAAAAACAATAATAAATTCAAAAACACTAACAAGAAGTTCAAAAAATAATATTGTTGCGTAATTTGTTTGGAATATTGATTTAATGTAAATAAAGCATGTTATTTTCTCTTCATGTTTCTTTCGATAAGAGGTGTTTTTAAAGTATGATGTAACTGAAAACTCACACGATTATAAAACCAAGCAAGGTAACTGGTACTAAGAAAAAACATGCTGGTTATCCAATTTTACTTGTTTGATAGTTCATAAAATATACATATTCAGTTCAATATATATGACAATTCATCTGAAATATAAAGGTATTTTCAGTGCTTTTATAGGCTTCATACATCAGAGTTGTGCTACTTCATACAAATACGCTCCAAGAAGTTTTGCCTGAAACAAAAAGCCATCAAATAATCAAATATTATTGTTTTTTGGTGCATAACATCAGAACGTCCAGAAACATTGGCAGTATTGACAATTTTGACAAGTATATCGACAAATATTCTTGGTTTCATGTTCCCCAACTCCTCCATTCAAAAGATTCAGTCGTTTGAGAAGAAATGAAAACTAGCGACTGGAAGAGCCTAAGAACATTGGAGGTGGTCATTCCAGGATAGGGATAATAGCAAAAACGCAACTATCAACATAGGTTTTCCAAGTTCGGTAAATATGAAAAATTATTCACAAAAAAGGTAACTGAACAATTAAACAAAAAAATTTATGTTAGGAAATGTATGCCATGCTATCCTTAAGAACTCAGAATGTAAAAGAACAGTCAACTCTGATAACAAGCCATGGTGAGAGGGAAAGTGGCAATTTTTTGGCCAAAAACAACATCATAATAATGCCTCAGCCACCGTATTCACCAGATTTGTCCCTATGCGATTTTTTCTGTTTCCAAGATTGAAGAGACGCATGAAAGGACGACGTTTTGAGACGATTTAGGAGATAAAACCAAATTGCTGAGAGAGATGACGATTGAGGAAATAAGAACCGAATTGCTGAGAGCTCAAAGACATACCTAAAAGTGCATATCAGAACTGCTTCGTGTATTGGAAAAAATAATTTGACACGAGTGTATTATATCTGAGGAGGGCTACTTTGAGAGAAATTAAAATTCCCACCTTTTCAAAGAATTTTCAATGGGTACTTTCTCTTTTGATCCCTCATATAAATCTCACAATGCCCAAGGGAACTAATTCATAACAAAAAGGAACAAGTATGATGAAAATTGTAAGTAAATTATTTTGAGATGAATAATTTTTTGGACCCAACGATAAAGTTTGACTGAAATGTTGAATTATACAATTTGAAAATGATGATAAATGAAAGGGTGACATTCCAAAACTAGGGGAATCACTTAATTGAGTAGTTATACACAATAACAATGATCTTCGATTTCTGAATCATCATTAAAAAAGAACTTTTTTATTAGTCAGTGCCACTCGTCAATGCATCGACCTGAAGTCAATGATATTCCATAATTGAAAATCGAAATTCTTTCAGAGTATTTCGTTCCTCGTCCAAAGTTGGAGCGAACAACAAAAATGTCACTCCATCTAGTGGACGAGGTATTAACCAACTGCATATCCGAAATGTTCAACATTTAAAGTTAATTTCTTTGGATTTGTTTACTGCCAGTCTTCAAGCATAGTCCACTGACTAATAAGGAAGTTTTTCTTCCTTATTCAAAGGAATCGGGCAAATTTCGAATATGCAGTTAGTTAGTACCTCGTCCACTAGATGGAGTGACATTTTTGTTGTTCGCTTCAACTTAGGACGAGGAATGAAATACTCTGAAAGAATTTCGATTTTCAATTGACTTTAGGTCGATAATGGCCACTATCTTGCACTGACGAGTGGCTAAGGAGCCCGAAACCGGACTGCAAGTGTGCCCGTTCCAAAACTGAGGGTCGACTCTTTAAGTTGTATTGCCATTTGCATATGCAGAAAATTTTCTGGGAAGATTCCTGCACTGACGCTTGTCAGATATAATCCAACGCCCTTCGTGGTATTAGCCAGGGGAGTAGTTGTTTTCTGATAGGCGTCAGTCCATTTAACCTACTGTGTAGGTACATCCAAGACGGGCTGGAACATTCAAAGTTCATTTCTTTAGAAGACAAGACGTTTTGAAGGCAACCATACAGAAACCTTGTTGAACCATGGTTTCATAAAAAAATATGCCACACACACATTCCCAATAAAACCTCAGTAAATTCAGCAGGTGAGAATCATAAGTCTGAACTAGTAATTTCACAGCAATTGAAAAAAATTAGGAATTTGGAACAATTGATTGACGAATCTGAAAAAATGGCCAAAATTCTTATAAAAAAAATCCAAATTTTGTATATCCAATTGCTCAAATGAATATTATATGAAAATGTACTCACTCCTTGAATGTAGTTAACTACATTGATTTTTTCGTTTTGCGAATGAGCCCCATCGTCTCCAGCCCCGACAGGAAGAAGAATAATGTTCTTTCCAGTCACCTCTTGGAATGTCAGAGTGATCGGAATGGAACCGCCTTCACGGGTCAAATCCGGTTCGACTTTGTAAACATGCTTAGTGGCTTTGATTGCGGCACTATAATGAGGATGGGACGGATCTTCGGTCCAGGGAGATCCACCGTCAGCCATCAACACCTGAAATTTATAGAAGGTTATCGACCAAACTAGTTATGAGCCACTCTTTCTTATATTCAGTCATTTTTTAAGTTATAGGGACACGGGATCACCAAAAATCTGATGGAAAAATCTAGATTTTTGGTGATCCCATGCAAAGTGAGTTTGAATTATATCAAGGTTACGTACAGCGACATCTGCCCGAGAATAGATCAAGCAATAATATTGATATATCAAGGAAGAAGAATATGACATTAAGTCCTCAAACATCAATGTCTTTAAAAGGAAGCTTAAGGTTTTTCTATTGCAAAAAGCATACTACTCTGTGGATGAGTTTCTCCTTGAGTCATAATCATAATTTGATTGTAGCTTAGTGATTTTATTTTTATTTAAGTTATGCTTTGTATTTGTTTTTCTATAATAGTTTGACCTGTTGTATCAGCCAGTATTTTATGATGATGTTTGCCTAATGTGATTGTAAATGAACACTGATTCAATAAATGTTTGATTGATTGATTGATTGATTGTTATGTACATCGCCATCTGCCCACGAATAGATCAAGAAATAATGTCGATAATTCTGTCAAATACAGATCCCGAGCTTGAGAGTTACAAACATACATACATACAGGTGAGGCTAATATAAAGCGTGAAATAATTAACATGATTTCAATGGATCTAGTGATGAATTAAACGAATTTAATAAAAAAGGAGGTATTTAAAAACATCATATCAGGCTATTTTGAGCATCTTCAAGCTGACCACATATTAAATAGTCTTAGAGCAGCTTTGGTATAATCAGACCAGCTTCGAACTAGCTGCGCTGGAAAGTTCATACGCTGACACGCAGATGGCGTTACCAGTATTAAATCCATATGATTTTTAGTTAGACCTAACCTTCAAAAGATACGCGTACCAATTTCACAGCTGTCGGACTATTAGTTTGTGTGATAGAACATTTTGAGTGAAGAAAATGGATAAAAAGAATTGCTTTTTGGCGAAAAAAAGAACAATTGAAGTCAAGGCATGGCTTGATGAACATATTAAGGACTTTGAACCAGGAAAATCAACCATCAAGAAGTAGTTTGGTAATTTTAAACGAGGTGAAATGAGCACCGATGACAATTCACGCCGTGGACGCCCCAAATAGGCTGTTACCATCGACCGCAAAGTGAAGTTGATCGAGATTGCTGAGGTGAAGAAAAAGAAAGTTTCACGGTCACAAATCAATGAAAACGATGGCAAAATTGCATGAATTATACTTTGAATTGCTTTCACATCCCCCGTATTCTCCAGATCTAGCCCCCAGCGACTTTTTCCTGTTCTCAGACCTCAAGAGGATCTTTGCCGAAAAGAAATTTAGCGCTAGTGAAGAGGTAATTGTCGAAACTGAGGCTAAAAACGAATAAAAAATTTGTATGACTGCTATGATCGTTGTATCGCCCTCGGAGGCAACTATATTGAATAATAAAATCTAAGTTTATCAATTCAGTCAGGCGGAAGGACTTCAGCAGATAGCCAGTTGAGTGGAATTATAATTTTGTTTAATAAACAACAATTTTTATTATTATTCAACCCAGTATACAAACGGCACTCTTACGGTATTGACGAGACACCGGTGTTGCCCTACGCTCCGGGAAATACTAAATCCGTTGTGGGGAACGAGAAGTGCCGAATTTATTGGAACTATTCGTTCCCCACCCTCAGGCTCATACAAGCTAATAAGCCTGATGTAGTCCTTCTCGACCATATATCATTTATTTCTGGTTCTGTTGTTGGTTTAAATGAAAAAGTATAAGGATTGAAGTATCTAAGTGTGTGTTCTTCTGATGATTCTTCAACATTGCTGGCCAGTAGTGTGGGTATGGTATTAAAATATTCAACAAAGTGATTTGCTACATTCTGGGGTGCCTGTACAATATTGTTATCAATATTTAAGTGAATTGGTTCCAACCTCCTTTTTGATTTTTTGCCTGATCCTATAATAGTCCAGGCCGTTTTAGATAGTCATAGTCAGTTCATCAGCAGCAAACCAAATATACGTTAATGTTTTACTATTTCTCATCATTAATTGTGACCTGCTAAAGTTTTGCTAAAGCGTAGCAAGATGTATCTTGCAAACAAGATACATCTTGCTGGTTTCATAAAACTACACGAATCATTGATATAGATCAGGAACCATAATGGACCTAAAGCAGTGCCCTGAGGAACACCATGCTTCATTTTTTGATAAGTTCTTTAAAATAGCATTCAGAATTTCATATATAAAGAATTTTGGAATTACATAAACAATAAAAAAAAAGATTACAGAATATCTAATAATTTCAGATATGAAGATGAAGTAATTTCTGATGACCAAGATATTGCTAATGCTTTTGCTGAATATTTTCAATCAGTTTATAGTTATGATTCTCCAGGTGGTACCAATCTCTCTCTAGAGACAAACCTGCGAGAATTATGTATATCATCAATTTCCGAACAAGATATCTGTAAATCAGTTAGATCCCTGAAACCCAAAACATCAACTGGAGTTGACGGTATTCCATCTTACTTTTACAAAGGTTATATGGAAAACTTAATAAGACCTCTGAACATAATCCTCAATAGTGTTGTTGAAAGGAGTGTGTTTCCAAAACAACTCAAAATGGGACGTATAATTCCTATCCATAAATCTGTCAATCAAAATCTCATAACAAACTATAGGACGATAACATTACTCTCCTCATTATGAAAAGTCTTAGAGATAGTCTTATATAACAGACTATATGCTCATGCTGAAGACACTATCTGCAGAGAACAGCACGGTTTTGTTAATACAAAATCGACTGAAACAAATCTCATGGTGTTCAGCAATAACTTAGCACTCTCGATAAATACTGGAAAACAAGTTGATGTAATCTACACAGACCTAGCGAAAGCATTCGACAAAGTGAGCCATGGAGTTCTCATCGCCAAATTAACGAAATTCTCAATGAATCTATCAATGATAACATTAGTGAAGTCATATCTATCAGATAGAGATCAATTTGTTGCTTTCAATAGAAAAAGGTCGACACTATTCAGACCAACCTCTGGCGTTCCTCAGGGATCAATTCTAGGCTTCTAGGCTTTTATTTATAATGTTCATTAACAATATAGGTGATTATATAAGACATTCCAAATTCCTGCTCTATGCAGATGATCTCAAACTATACCAAACCATCAACGATGAAAAAGACAGTGAAAACCTTCAGAAAGACTTAGATTTTATCACCATCTTTTGTGAGACGAATAACTTGATGCTGAATGAGGGTAAATGCAAAGTTATGTCTTTTTCACGGAAAAATGTTATTGCCCCAACGTAATATTCAGTAAATGGCACCAAACTGGAAAAACTTGCTCAAATCAAAGATCTAGGAGTTATATTTAATAGTAACTTCAATTTCAGAAATCACATAGAATATATTGTACGTGATGCAAACAGAAAGTTTCATTTTGTGTTAAGAAACGCCAGGGATTTCAAATGGGAACTAGGAATTCTTCTATTCAATGCCTTTGTCAGATCAAAGCTCGAATACGTTTCAACAATCTGGAATCCGCAAACAGCATTTCATTCAGAGATGATAGAAAAAATACAGAAGATATTTCTTAGGTACACCTACTTCAAAAAAAATAATGAGTCTCCCTCTATGATCTCCTATAGGACTCAACTAGAACATTTTGATATGCCAACCCTCTCGGATCGTCAAGGCTTGAATGATGTACTATTTATATTCAACATATTCAATCAGATAATAAATGTACCTGAACTCCTCAGTGTGATCAATCTTCATGTTCCTAGTGCTAGTCTAAGAAATCGCAATAGGGTTTTCTATGTAGACACCCGATCAGAGTCTCCACTCAATCGCTGCCTTAGGCAAGTGAATGATCTAGTCATATGTCATCAAAGTCTTGATTTTTTTTGCTGTGATGAATTAGAAATAAGACAGTTGTTTGAAAAAAAAGTGCCATATATACCTGTTTTTATTAACGTTTCTCTTGTATGTAATTTTAGGTGTTGATACACATGTATACATTGATTGTATACATGTAATCGGGTGTAAACCTGTTTGGAATGCAGTTTAAATAAAATCTGTCTATCTATATAAGATAATTTATTAAACACAGAAAGGCAATTCTCAAGGTTCAATCCTTGGGAAAATAGTTTTCATCATCAATATTAGGTGTAACAGCACAGACTTTTGTTGTAAAATGAAAAATGGTGAGAACCCTGCTTTTTGCTCTTGCATTCTTTGATGGCTCGAAAGTAGCACTTAATATTATTACCATTACTGAAATTGTAGTATACCAAAGTTCAAATGGGCCTGGACATTATTTTTAAGTGCCCAAATAAAAGCTTACCTTCATTTTATTGGGGCTTCCTCTCTCTTTCCACTTTTTCTGTACATATTCGACGACATACTTCTCGATTTGATCAGGTTTTTGATTGGGAACGATTCTGATCGAGAATTTTCCGATGACCTTCTTCGGTATCACAGTCTTCTGTCCGGATTCACTGAAAGCGCCCTCTATTCCGTGAAGAGATAGAGAAGGATATCTCCAACGGTGCATCAAAATCTGCTCCTTGTCTCCGTCGTGCATGAGTTTGTCACAGCCCACGTCTCGACGGTATTCTTCAGTGTCAAACACAATTTTCTTGTAGAGCTCGCGTTCTGCGGGAGTTATTGCAGCTACTTCGTTGTACAAACCCGTTATCAGAATCTTGCCATCTTTATCTACGAGGGTGTTCATCAGATAGATCAGGTCTGACATGGCTTCATGACTGAAAAGCATATTTATTGATCAATTTTTTTACACTAATAATCAGAAACAGATAGATCAATGTATATTACAGCAATAACTGTCATTTATAAGTAAGTAGTCTTTATTGAATAGGAATAATCCTAATAAATACAAAGTTATAATTCTACAATTGATTATTAAATAAATACTACATCAAAACATAATACAATAAATGAATCCAGGTATGAATTTAGAATAAAATACATTATTAGCAATAAAAAAACTAAGATTGAGATAATACAAATATCAACACAATATACAAGTGTATATAATATATACACTTCGACTTATTAATGAAAGAAAATTGGAAGTAACTGGTATATCTCTCAGCAAATTCAAAAAACAATCTCTTAACTGCATGGTAGTATTATGATATGTATTTTATAATAACTTAAGTTAATGTAATGTAGTATATTACTTTATTATATAATTGTTAATTTTATTCTCAAATGGCGGTGAAAGTACATGTTAAAAACAAATTCAAGGGTAATAGGAAAGTATGCAAACTATGATATTACACTAATTAGATTTTTCTTCAATTAATACTCAAATTTTTAATGGAATAGTACTTCTTTGTTTTCTCTGGAATTGAATTATATGTAATTATTCCATCCTGATATATCAACTTTTTTACAAAATTTGTTTGTATTATAATTTTTTACAGTAAATTGGTTTGTCTTGTGGCATGATTATGCACATGTCTAATTCGAATAAAATTCAAGATTAATTTATTTGTATTATTTTCAACCGAATTAATGAAACAGCTGACTTTGAGTTATGAAGTGAATTCAAGTCCAATAAATGGTTTGGTTTATATAAGCTTAACTTTGATTCAAAACATGGTGATTCATAAATGCTTCTGATTATTTTGTTTTGTGAGGTTTTCAGAGGTGTCATTATATAGTTCCACCCTATAGTCCCACCCTGGCCAAAATAATCGAGAAATTGGTGCAGGAAAGGTTGCTAAGGTTTTTATGCCGAAACAACATACTAAGCGAGGATCAATTCGGATTTCAAAAACGCAAGAATACGAATGATGCCATATTGGCGCTAATGACCAAAGTCTACAAACGAATTAATGAAGGGCAATCAACCGCGGCAGTATTCTGCGACCTAACCAAGGCCTTTGATTGCGTAAATCACCAAATTCTGTTAGACAAACTTGATTATTATGGTTTCAGAGGAATTAGCCTGCAGTGGTTTAGATCTTACCTGGAGAATCGTAGCCAGTTGGTAAAAACTGACCACTATTCACGTATTGGAGCTACTAGATGTGGTGTGCCTCAGGGTTCGGTACTGGGACCTATTTTATTTTTGTTATATGTCAACGATATCTCCCATTTGAATATATCTGGGAGGTTCACGTTATTTGCAGATGATACCACTATACTTTGGCACAGTAGTGATGAAACATCTTTACACAATGTAATACAACGTGATCTCGAAACAATAAGAACGTGGTTTGACAATAATCTCCTTGTACTCAACATCTCCAAAACTAACTTGTTAACCTTCAAATGTGAATTGGACGCAATCATTCTTGATTCAACTAATATTGACAACTCCCCCTGCACAAAATTCTTGGGTCTTCATATTGACAGTAACCTGAGATTCGATGAACATGTTAAAAAACTGTCTAAAAAACTATCCTCTGGGTGCTATGCCATTAGAGTCATCAATAATGAGATAGGATTTGCAGCAGCAAAATCTGCCTACCATGCATTAATTGAATCGCATATAGGTTATGCAATTGCTTTTTGGGGTGCATGCAATAAAAATTTATTACAGATGATCCAAGTTGTACAAAAAAGAGCCATTAGAGCCCTCTTCAAGATTAAGAGTCGCAAATCGTGCAAAGAATACTTTAAAAATCACCAAATCCTCACAGTGATCTCTATTTTTATATTGGAAACATCTTGTTTGATTCATAAGCACCGTGATCTATGTAAAGGAGCGTCATCGTCTTACAATACTCGATCTTCCCAAAACTCGACTCTTATGTTGCCTATACCCAAAAGTCGCCTCGTAAAGGACTCTATTATATATAACGGCTTGAAAATATACAACTACCTTCCAGCAAGAATTAGGGAAATCAAGAATTATAATAGATTCAGAGGTAGTGTGAAGGTTTTACTCTTTGATCATCCCTTCTATAGCTTGGATGAATTTTTTATAGCCAAATTATCTGAATGAACTCATTATCCATATCTGTCATTGCTGAGGCTCAATTATGTGAATATGTATGTATGGATGGGTGTATATATATATGTACCATTATTTACTCTAATTTGATCAGATCCTGTGTTTATTTGTGTTTATACATCTGTAAGTGTTATTTTAAACAATATTTTAACATACATCCATGTACGACAACTGACTTTGTCAACAAGAATTGTATTCTTTCGACAATAAAGCATATTCTGATTCTGATATTTACTTGCTGTTCCCCAAACAGAAATGAGGTAGTGCAAATGTGAATGAATGAGACTAAAATATATATTTTTTTAATTTTATATGCATGAAGTTTTGATCTCGTAAACATTCCAATAAGATTAAATATTTTTTAAATTTTTTTTCAATATATTTATTCCACGATAATATATAAACCTAAAAATGTTGTTGTTTCTGTGTATTTAATAGAATTATGATTAAATATAATGAAATTATGCGAAGTACTAATTAGTATCAGGGAAATATTCATATATTAGCATTTGATGTATTGAATGTCGATATTTTTACAAGTAAAAAAAGAAGCACCAGAATTCATAAGTTAAGAAGAGATGAAGATCTCAGATTTTAATTTTACCAAGATATGTTACACCCAGTACATTATTGTTTCGAGTACAAATGAATATGTAGCCTAATTACATCTCTGACAACATATAATTTTACCATTATTTTATCAAGTTCAACAGATAAGATAAAAATCACATGCGAACAATTATTCTATCGATATTGCCCCTTTGAAATTTGTACTTTCATTTTCTCGAGTACTTGTTGTATCTTAGGAAAACATGTATAGATATTTCAAATACTAGTTTTTATCCACAATATTTTATGAAATGTTGATTTGAGGGAGATACTGACTGATAACGATTTTAATCTTATGTACTATACAATGTCTCAAATATTCTCTAATTAATGTTATACGTACGCACTTTGTGTACTCTATGTTTCACCAAACAACATAACAGTAATTTTTTTACTTACTATGACAATTATTCAAATGATATGCAGCTACTTAAGCATACAGGTCGTTATCCATGGACATAACACAGATAGAAATTTCAAGACGGCAGTAAAACGGTTTCTCAATACAAAATTTTATCACAACTCTGGTGATTATTATTATTTAAAAATCTACTAGATTAACAATTGAAGCATTCTTTTCGACATTGTTTTTCCACTTTGAAAGTTATGAGAATGAAAACTATCATTATTACCATCATCAAATGAGTCATCATAAGTTTATGCAAAATTACCACTCTGAACGGTTATTTTTCTCAGTTTCGACAAATGTTTTTCATATTCTTTGATTCCTAGAAAACCAAGTGTTACTTCTTGGATCAATATTTTTGTTTTCATTCTTCTCAACCACGATATCCTGTTTTTGTATTTTTCCGACTAAACAATTCGGTATCTTTACTATTTGGTATAATTTTTCTCACTGGTATTGAAATATGTTCTTCGACGTTATTCATTTTTCCCGAGATTTTGTTTCACATATATTTTCGGAGATTGAGCCGCAAACGAGTTTGGACATTTAAAAACCAATACTTCTTATCCTCCAAACCATCTTACAAGTCAAAGCCAAATAAAAGTGTACCAATGACCCTACTTTGCAGAACGGAATTTTTTTATTTTCATATCTGGTCAACATGCCTGCAAGCCCACTCATTACTGTTTTTGTCAAGGACAGTTAATTCTCAATGATGTAGCCGTAATGCAAGCACTTTCGATTGCGCTTGCATCTTCATAGCTCTACTCAAACTGAACGTTTTATCTTCTTGTTTGTTCTTTTATACGGTTAGAACTTCTTGGTGCAGGTATTTGTCTTCTCTCATCCGGATGTCTCTTTAAATTTGCCTGTAATTGGGTTACATCAGGCAATATCCTTTGTGTTGGTGTTTCTCTAGATTCATTGTTTCTAGGAATGTGTATTGTTTCGTGGAGTATACTGAATGTTTGGTCTTCTTGTCATAATTCACTTATCGAAGAACAAATAGAAATCAAAACACAACAAGACCTAACATTCAATATACTCCACAAAACAATACACATTCCTTAAAACAATTAACCTAGAGAAACACCAACACAAAGGATATTACCGGATGTAACCTAAGCACAGGCAAATTTAAAGAGACATCCGGATGAAAGGAGAGGACAAGTACCTGCACTAAGACATTCTAACCGTATAAAAGAACAAACAAGAAGATAAAACGTTCAGTTTTATCTTCAGTTTGTTCAGTTTTATTATATATATAATACTAAACATAACCAATAATCAGATGTGCATACAACAAAACCAACTCTGCTTGAATTAATACACGTCTTCAAAATTAATAAGAAATGATGAATAAATAGATACTTACACAGTTCCACCAAAAACTCCACTATGCAAGTCCTTAACCGCACATTCAACCTCTATGAAGAAGTAGCAGACCCCTCGCAGACCATACGTCAAGCAAGGCTTAGTGGTACCCAACCAGTAGTTATCAGAAATACAAACGTAATCCACGTCAGCCAGAAACTTCTGTTTTTCCGCAACGAGCAGCTCCTCCAATCCAACACTGCCGCTTTCCTCCATCCCCTCGAAGACAAACTTGATGTTGACTGGAACTTCCTGTCCGGTCTCTTGGAAAGCTTCGATTGCATTTAACCAGCACAGGACTGGCCCCTTGTCGTCGGAAGAGCCTCTACCGAAGAGTTTTCCATTTCTTTCTGTCAATTCGAAGGGCTCAGAGTCCCACCCGTCTTCCTTGTAGGCAGGCTGCACGTCTAAATGACCGTATGCCAGGACAGTCTTCTTTTTGGGGTCGTTGCCCAGAGTTGCGAATAATACTGGAGGTAAGGGCAAAGTCGTTCCGTCGGGTAGTGTTTGACTTCCTATGTCGCGAATGTCAGTGGTGAGGCCCAGTTTTTTCAGTTGTTTCGCAGTGTGCTCCACCATTTTGCGAATTTCCCCTCTCTTGTGGGCCCATGCTGATACTGATTCAATTGCCACTGCTTCCTTGAGGTTCTCTATGAATTTTTGCTTGTTGTCTTCTACATATCTGGAATCAAATATTTCATTATATTGAAGAAATATGATAGGAATGACTGATCCTTGATGGAAATCCATTGTACCGTATTCAAAAAAACACTGTGACAGTTTACAAAACCGTGACACGTATTTCGTTATAGAATAGCATCCTCAGGAGTCACAATGATGACTAAACAAATTCTGTGGCATGCTTTTACAGTAATTTTGATCCTAATGATTATTACTACCTGACAAATTTCTACATGATAAATTCATTACCCAAAATATTTACCTTTCTAGGAATAATTCATTAAACTGGAGAATAATCAATATAAGTTTTACCCCAGACCTCATTTAATCTTTAAGATCTATCCTAATTACCAATTTCCTTATTGCAAGCATTGCAATTCAAATCTATTTGATCATTGAGCAATGATCCCTAATTCTTAAATTCATTGATTTCCAAGCATTCCAGAAGGTTGAGTCTTCAACCTTTCTCTTCCAGATGCAATACGTAATAATTGTGATTGGACTTGTGCTCCTCTGTCAAAAAAAGGTTTGCAAATGTTGAATTGCTCTTCTCGATCAAAAAACTTTTTCTATGCTCTTTTATTCTTTTGGAGAAAGTTTTTCCGGTTTGGCCAATATAAAATACAGGACAACAACTACTAACTACAATATAAAATGTAGGACAAGAACTACTAAAGATAAAACTGGAGTTTTACTACAAACATATGTCATCATTCACTTTTTATACAAAGTGAAATCGAATAAAAAACCACTAAATATTGAACCAATACAGAAAAGAGAATAATAATGAACTGGAGAAGTGAATTGGCGCTCGATAAAAGGTCATGAGTTTGATCCCAACCTTGACCAGATATTACATCTGACGGACTGACAAAAGTCATTTTGCTTCCTAGGTAACTCAGGAAGTTATCAACATTGCCTTCCCAGAACACAAGGTTAATGACCAAGCAGTCGATGCCCTCGACACCCAAGAAAAAAAAAAGAATAACAAAGAGAACTGAATCTGTCGAGATAAATGAAGTCACTGACTTATCTTCAATTAGATCTAGTTCAAGGATTGTATTGTACAAACACACTGAAATATGTGGGATCTTGGGAACTCTCCTTTTATTACTTTGATAAATTATTTCTTGATGAGTCAATACCCCTCATTAACAATTTTTAGATTTGATGTTCAAATTTTCATTTGTAAGTCACAAGTTGTAAAAAAAGTTGCTTATTTTTCATTTGTTATAACTGAAAACTATATGAATTTTGCTAGTGAAAAGCAATGATCCAACTGCTTACTAATGGGAGAGGAGTAGTAGAGTGAATTCATTTAAGATATCTATTATATACAGGTGCACTGAAAATTAATGATTAACCACTTACGATTTCTTATGAATTGCGACTTAAGATTGGGTGCATGAATCCACCTTGGAAAAGTGCCATGATCAGCTATTAGTTCTACTTAAGAAAACAATGCAAAATATGTGACAAGTGGTGAGCTTACCAACACTTTTAGAAGGGATGACTAATGAAAATTAGTTGACGATAATAAAAGATGGAAATCTGAAGCTTTTTATATGACTTTCTTTTCCTTTAACCAACTCTATGGTATACCATACCATATATTAAGTAAATTACATGAATTTGATCTTTATTTTATACATATTATATAGCCTCACTTTTCCCCACTGCTGTATTGTGTTTTGGATAAGTTATTTTGTTCATTCTTTCAACAAAATTTTCACCTGATACGCCCCCAAAAATGAACAATGTTCAACATTATTCTATCAAATACAACTTACTTAAATAATTTTACTAAAGGTTCCGGAATTGACATGATGACACGTTACTTCTCCACTAGAACAATACGAAATAAATAAACTGTACTGTTCCTCGCAACTCTCTTCACTTCACAACTGAAAGAAGAGACGCTTATAATAAATTAAATGGAAGTAATCGGAAACCCCCGTTTTATATCATATTATTATTCAATAACAAAGCAAACACTCTTGTTTGGTTATTTAATCTAATCAGGGAGTTGTTCAAATGTTTAGTCAGATTTGTAACAAATATTTTTGATATTCAAATAAATGAGCACCATCTCATAAAAGAACGTTGAACTGATATCCATCCATAAAAAAAGAAGAAAACCTTAGATTAAAAGAATCTGAATGCGATTATAAAGTGTAATAAGAATATAGAAATCCACTAAGGGCATCTACGTCATGGTGTTTTATGTGTTGCATATATCCAATATATTGTTGTTACTTTCATGATAGGTTTGATGAGTTGGATATATAGATCAGATAATGCGAACGAAATGCAAACGCAGATCATTCCGTTAATTATAAAGTCCCTTATTAACGTGCATTCATTTATAGCAGCGATAAAAATTCAACCTGCTAGATAGAATCTCTGGAAATCAGTGAATGAAAATATTCAAATTTACTTTCAAACGACCAAAAGTCAGTTATTCATTCACTATCATTGAACTTGTTCTCATAAAATGTCCAATAACTCATTTACGTATCTACTGTTTTTATAGAAATATTATTGTACTGATTTGTGCTTTCTAAATCTACCTGTCTTTCCAGAATTTATCATTTATCTAATTAGGTTTTAAGGTTAAATGTCATAATTGTACCTGTTTTACCAGATTTAATCATTTATGTAATTTTTATCATTACATACTATTATATAAAAGTTTTCTAATAGTAAAACTTGTTCACAAAAAGGATGTGAAACTTTAATAACTTCTAATTATTATATGCGAGCGCTTTCGATAGAACGCTGTGCTATCATCTTCATGGCTCTACTCAAACTGAACGTTTTATCCTCTTGTTTATTTTTTTATATGATTAGAACGTCTTAGTGCAGGTATTTGTCTTCTCCTTTCATCCGGATGTTTCTTTAAATTTGCCTGTATTTGGGTTACATCAGGTACAATCCGTTTAGGTTTTTGTTTTCTTCTTTTTCATAGCTGTAAAAGGAGTGTACAGCATGCAATGCTCGGACTGCAACAAATTCTATATCGGCCAAACCAAGAAAAAACTGATCCAAAAGTACGACGAGCACAAAAAAGCATACATAAACCCAATAACATATTAATCTAACCTCGCAACACACGCCATACAAAACAAACATAACTTTTCCCCACCAGAAAACATCAAACTCCTAAAATAAGTCAATAAAGGAAACCGTATGGACATCTGGGAAAACCTAAACATCCATAAACTCATAAGTCATAATTCATTTATCGAGGAATAAATACAAATCAATACACAAGACCTAACATTCAATATAGTACACAATACACATTCCTAGAAACAAAGAAGCGAAAGAAACACCAACACAAAGGATATTACTTGTTGTTACCCAAGTACAGGCAAATTTAAAGAGACATCCGGATGAAAGGAGAGGACAAATACCTGTACTAAGGCGTTCTAACCGCATAAAAGAACAAACAAGAAGATAAAACGTTCAGTTCGAGTAGAGCCATGAAGGTGACAGCATACCCTGGTATCGAAAGCGCTCGCATATAATAATTAGAAGTTAATAAAGCTTCAAACCCTTTTACGTGGATGTGAGATCGATAGGATGGTAGCCTAGTGGGTTGACTGGGTGGTTAGTTTCACTCACTCAATCCATCGCTGTGTGAATCGGTGGTTCAAACCGCAAGGTCGGACAATCAATTTTCACTTCCTATCGTCCAACCCGTGTTAGGAATCACACGTTAAAAGGTGAGACCTCGTGGTACTTAATGGACATTTTCTATTGAAAGTGTGAAAAACGACTGCTTGATTAAAGCTATGAATGACAATGTAGCTCGTTGGTTTTCATCCATTTTATAGTGCTCCCAAGGACAGTCTGTTCTTGTAACGTCAGACCGCTGCCGTTTTCGAAAAGGTCAACTTCTTTGGGAACAATCCTTCGAACAAAACAATGAGAAAATCCTACTACTTTTCTTCTGGAGGTGATGGCATTTTTTTCAGGAACTCGGGTTCTCGTCAGTGACAAGTAAAGACGGTCAAGGTTTTTTTGTTCACTTGTGCCAGTCACTTCATAAGGTTGAACTTTTTGATTGCCATTTTAATAGTTGACAATAAAGTTTTTCCTCAGCATACGGCTGGTGTCGTAACGTAATGAGAAAACATATTGCGTGTTCGAAAAGTTTCAGTATGAGCTAATACCTCCGACGCCGGTGAAGATAGAAAAACAAAATTTCGGCAATACATATGTAGAGGGTGTCCCAATTCGAGAGTGACCATTGAGATCTCGGAAACGTGAGAAATACAGGGACGGTTAAATTATGGCAAAGTTGCCTAATCTGGTACTCTTCTAAATGATGTTTTGAACTCTGGAAAATTCCGAATAATTCAGTCTGAGTATTGGTACATTCTGTTTGAAATCTGTTTTCTGGTTGTTGTTTGCTGTTTGGGACGGATCTTTTCCATCACTGGCAACCTTGATAGTCTGAAACATCGAAGAAAGGTGGGGATTTGTCTCTCTTCTATAGATACTTCCACGAGAAGTGTTCAAGTGACTTGGCACATTTGATTCCACCAAGAGTGGTACATATCAGAAATACGGGATGGACTGTGGCTGCTCATCGTTTTGAGGTTCAACTCAGTACACCTCGAATTTCACTGTTCAAGAACCCTTTCATTTAGAGAACTGCGTTTATGTGGGATAAAATTCCGGAAAATCTTTTTCCAAATGCTTGTGCTTGTGTTTTGTCCTTAAAAAACTCCAGGTATTTTTTAACGTGTCAGACAATCAATGCCAAATTGATTGCTGTCGTATATCTCATCAGAAGGTGATGAGATACACTATCCATGGTGCTCATGGATAGTTTTTAGAAGTGATTATTTTTTTCGAAAACAAAGTTTGATATGAAGAAAACGTAAGCGACGGAAAAGTCGCACTTTTAATTGCTTAATTTTAAATATAAAAAACTACAAAAAAGTCAGTGGCGTTTTTTTTCCTTAATATTGTTGGCTGTAATGCCCACTGAGACGCCACTGGACGTAATAATTTCAATCTAGTTCGAGCTAAATAAGCGCCTTATCACTTCAAATAACTGTAGATAATTTCTACCAAATCAGTTTAAGCATATTTATGATATTTTATAAATACAGTTTGTTTTTAAACTTCAACGGCCTGTATCTCAAAATCGAAGCAACTCCGAACATATATTGCAATTATTGGATGGGGAGGAGTGTTCAAAACCTACTTGTACCCACTAAAAGTTATCCAAAGAAAATTCATTAAACTGATACTGAATAAACCACCACCAAGATACAACAGTGACGAATAATTATATAAAGAATCAGAAATATTCGATGTAAGGCAACTGTTTTTCAAAACCCTTGCATTGCATCAATATATTATCAATATATTAGCATTTAAAACAATAGGACAGAGATCTCATCAATTTTTGGGCCCAAGGTGTTCAATTCCTTACCAGAAGATATACAAAATTGTGAATTTACCAAGCACATGAAAAAAGGCACTCGAAAAATTTATTACTAGGCTTCATCGTGAACACATTGAAAGAATATCTGACCAAAATAATTGAGTACGAATTACATGTCATTATACACCCCAAATCCCAACAAATAAATATGTATATATTTATTTTCCACGTGATCTTTGCTAATGATTTGTATCTTGTACACCATTTCAATGGCTCTGTCATCGCAAAAATGTAAATACTTACCTTTTGATTTTTTTCATACATCACAGTAAACCTATATTTCCATGTAACAAAAATAATATTTTGTAAATGTTAAATATTTTATACAGTGTGTCCGCAAAGTATGGAATAAATTCGATATTTCCAAACCAAAGGTCGTTTCACAAAAACCTGAAACACGTCGATTTTTAATTTTAATATTCCACATTTTACAACAAAATTTCATGACACAGGGTGATCCATATTGATGTGATGACGTCATCGGTAATTTTTTTAAATGCAACACCCTGTATTTGGTGTCAGTTTTAGATAATTCGTAACGAGCTGATTCCGAAAAGGTATGATACTTGGGGTCTAACGGACAGAATTTGAAAGATGTGCGTTTAGAAAATAAATTTCATTGATATCTAATAAAAGTAGAAATTAATTAATTATTTTATATTTTTTTCTAATGATTAATTTAACAATGGGAAAGTAATTCAGTAATGAATACATGACTTTATGTTAGATGTTCGAACTGTAGTCCTTGCTGAATTTTACATTAACCTAAACGTTGAATAAATTCTTGTTGAATCTTGTTTATGGTTTCTTGAGAAATATTGTTATTCTCTCTTTTAATTCTTGAATATTTGCTGATTTCTTTATATAAACAACATTCTTCAGATGGACCCACATAAAGTAATCCAACTGATTTAAGTCTGGCGACCTCGCTGGCCATTCAATATGTTCACGTCTACCAATCCATTGGTTCGTAAAGATTTGGTCGAGATACCTTCGAACATCTGCAGCATAATGTGGAGGGGCACCTTCCTGTTGAAACCATAAACTTTCATCAAAACTTCCAGGATTAATTCTACTGGGGAATAAATTATCGATGACGTCATCACATTAATATGGATCTCCCTGTATAATGAAATTTTGTTGTAAAATGTAGAATATTAAAATTGAAAATCGATGTGTTTCAGGTTTTTGTAAAACGACTTTTGGTTTTGGAAATGTCGAATTTATTCCATACTTTGCGGACACACTGTATGTACTCATTTTAGATTCCTTTTTTCCATTTTAGTGTTCCAATAAGAAGAAAGTGTTATATCAAATTGTGTTTCGCCACGTACAAACAGCTTTTGCTATTTCTGTGGCTTTTTCAATGTTTATTTGCTGAATGTATAATCATGTTTCATGTAATTGTTTATTAAATATGTGTGTATGTGAGTGGCGCATACGCATATCACTTAGTGAATAAACACGATTATTATTATTATTTTTATATGTTCATGGGAACTTTTTTCTTAAATCGACCTAACGAATCACCCTCTGAAGTTTCGTACCGTAGTTAGGAAACACCCTGTATAAAGGTCATCGCCAATCTTTCCAACACACTGATGACGAGCGCTTTCCAATGTAGGCACAAAGAAAGTAATTGAACAATTGTGTAACGCAAAAAAACAACAAAATGAAACGGTTATTATTTACGAGAACATCAATAAAAAAACCAAAAGTAGGCCATTTCTCTGGTAAAACACGCGACAACGAGGAAACGAAATTAAACAAACGACGTATGATATAACAACGCATATTATTATTGCAAAACGGACACAAAATTAATATCGCCGAGTTTCCTACATAAACGGACCTTGAGAGCCCCCACGATTGGACTCGAACCCTCCTAAAGAAGTTGTTGAAATACTGTTAGATAACACCATGGGTGTTTATCCAAAGACTTTCCAAGACGATCAGTTCGACTTTGGTGCTTTTGGAGTGAGTTGGTGAGCACAAGTGAACGCAAGGTGAGTCGTCTGGATTTTCAATACAGGGTGCGGGGATTATGTTACTCAGAAGATTAAGAAAAAATTGTTTAGATAATCGTTGAAATCGGCGAAATATTTGGTCAGAGATATCTTACGTGTGTGTGAATAGTAAAAGATTGCCACTTTTTTGTAGTTGAAGTACATTGATTATTGAAGGTAAGAAAATGAAAGTGTCAAAATAAAGACAGTATGCTGAATAACGATTTTTATGAATACTTGATTAGGAGCTGTTTGCCAGATTAGCACCCCATGCTTCTTTACAACAAAATTATTTTTTTTGTTAATAGATTTATTCTGATCTCAGACTTATTAGAAGTCATTAGTTACATTAAGCCGTAGGACTTGTTATCGATGTTGAACACAATCTTGAATTAGTTTCGAATAATTTTTTAGTTTGTGTTGCTATTAAATCGTGTTTTTCAGTTTTTTGAAGTATTATTTATTTTCCATTTTCCATTGGCTTGCTATTTCAAGTCCGTTTGTTTTAATATAAAATATATACGCATGTATAGACAGTGTGGTTGTTTCACTTGCTCTCACACAGATACTGATGAGGAAGTTATTCAATCCTGGTGATCCTGATCAGGATGATGAGATAAACTTATGAAATTATTGTATTGTCCTTTCTAAAAATATACCCTATAAAAGTGAAATAAAAAACACAAAATGATGCAAAAGCATTGTGGAATACAGTGAAAAAAATAAGTTCGTCAGACAATAAAGGTAATATTGTTAAAGTATTTTAGAAATAAGAGGTACTGCATGAGAACGGAGTTCCACAGGGAACGATCTTGGGTCCAGTTTTATTCTCCATATAAATATATTGATAATTTGTTCACTTCAAACTCATGTGGAAAAATAATAAGTTTCTCTGATGACACAGCTATCGCATACCATGGGGAAAACTGGATCGAACTCCTGAACTCTTCTGAAGAGTTCTTGTCTGATATCGAGTACTTCGGCAATTTCGTATAAAGGTTTTGTTGTAAAATTCATTTGTTTATGAAGCATCAGTTTTATGACACCCCTTTGCAAAATTTCCAGCGTTCCTCTCTAAGTCCGCAGTGCGAACTTAGTGAGGAACGTTGGGCGGCATGTTGGGCGTATACATTCTCGAACCATCAGTCTACTCTTTCGTAACTGTGTCGTGAGTGTCATACCAATTTTCGTCCAAATAGAAAATTTGCCGTTGTTCTTGTCTATATTTAGTTATTTGTTCTAAGTATTTCTTACGCAATTCCACTATTATTCTGCTTTCCATAACTGTTTGACGTTTGTTTATTATTTTAAATCTGAATCCTAGTTTCTTTATCCAGTTCTGAAGAGTTTTGTCACAGCAGCTCACGTTATAGCCGGAAGTATTCAATTTCTTCTTTATGATTTCAGTTGTAGGAATCTCATTGCTTTTGAAAGTCGCATATTGTTTTTTTCAACGATTTTATTAGATGCACATCTGAAGGTTTTGGTAATTCCGTATCACATCGCGTCTTACGTTCATAAGGTTTGTTTTTGACTATTTTACGTACAGTTGAGAAAGGAATTTCGGTCAAATCTGATGTTGCTTGTGATAGTTTGTTTCCCTCGAAACCAAACTTGAGATGTAGATTCTTTTATACATTGAAACATACTTTCTGTGTTTCAATATTCAAATGCATCCGAATCTTATTCACTGGTATCTCTTTTTCACATTGTTCACCATCGCACAGGAAAAAGTCTGCGTTGTTATCACACTTGTCATTACTATTAGTACTTGTCCAAGGACGCCACATTCAAAACAGATAAAAAATTTCAAGTAATTATAACTGCCCCAATATCGAATTTCAACACTCAAATCGCGATCAATTTCAAGACTGAACATTGACAACACGAAGTGTATTAACATCTTCGCATTCTCTTCGTCACCGTAATATGACTTCAAATTTAATATTATGACTCTTCAGCCAATCATAAAACTCGGTTAGTAAAAATTATGCAATACGAACCGCCAATTCTTCAGTTCACGTGGACTATATCTCAGCGGCATCATTTCTTTGTATTGGTTTTTATGGCCTTTGAGTTCGCCGATAGCTTTAACTATTCACAATACCGGTTACTTCGACTATACTAATATAGTGTAGTGTGGAAGCTATTCTAGAGCAAAACACGTGTTGTAGTTTTGCAAATTGTCCACTTGAATACTGTTTTTTAGGAATTTTCAAACAATTGTTCTTTTGGTGACTCGTAGAAATCAAGTGAACGTAGAAAAGTTTTTGATCTTTGTTTGTTTTTCCGTTTATCTAATATTTTCGGTCTCTTCCGTGATGCAGATTAATGTTAAACGTCTTAGAAGTCTGGGAATGAGTAAATTTAAATGCATTTGGAATCACTTCCCTAATAACGTGCTATTATAGATTTTAAGAGAAAGTCTGTGTATCCCAAGCAAACCTCGATGTTGATAATTAGTTTTTACTGCATACATATAAATACAATTACCGTACCTATGACATAAAACAGTGTCTTTAAAACGATGCGACAAACAATATCATCGTTCTTCGAAGCGTGTAGCATAACCGTTAGTTTTGCGGCGACTCTGTATGTCGTCTTCATATTGTTGACTGAGGGACTGATTCGTATTCTTCTATCAAGATATGGAAAAGGTAACGTAGACTTCCAACAATATTATCGCAATATTAGAAGTTAGAAGTACTCAAAAAATCAATCTGTGATTCGAAAAAATATGATATCATTTAGGAAAAATCAGAAATATCGTGTTCTGTTAATTCGTCATAAAATGGCCCTATTGCTTCACTGGTAGCCATTGAAGGGTTTGCAACATATTTCTTATAGGTGTTATCCTCGAACATTGTAAGATTATTCGAATAGAACGATTCTGCATCTTTTGTAGTCTGTTTATTTCATTTTGATCGAAACAAAACAGAATGGTAGAACAATAATTCAAATGTGGAAGGATTATGGAGTTGTAGACTAATAATTTAGACCACTGCCTCACATATGGGGAACATCTTCTTGAATAGTTGATTTTGTAAGCTATTATTTTGATAACTTAATTAGCAGGTTCCTTGAATTTCAAGTTGCTGTCATTAGTTACACCCAAGTACACGAATTGGTTTACCTTCTCTATATTACTGTCATTCAATCGTATAAGTAGGTTTTCATTATTATAATCTCTATGTTTCTCAAAAAACATCTATTTTGTTTTATTCACGTTCACCTTCAGCAGAGTAATATCTATACACCCTTTCAAGACTAGCGTTTATAGTATCAACACACTCATGTACATCTTCACTACTATAGTATAATAGGGTATCGTCGGCAAATAAGTGGATTCTACATTCTTCTACTATGGTTACAATCTCATTTAAATATATAAGGAATAACAATGGTCCCAAAATAGACCCTTGGGGCACACGTGAATTATTTTGCACTTTATTCGAATAAACTTCCTCTAGTTTCAAGCTTTGCTGTCTATTGCTCAAATAATTCATGATCCAGTTTAGTACCATTCCATCAAAACCTACGCTTTCAATCTTTCTAATCAATCTGCATCTATTTACAGTTTCAAATGCCCTTTGAAGGTCAAGAAATACTGCAATTGTATCCATTTCCACACTTTTCTTCCAATCTGTTAAAACATATTGTAACGCAGTTTCACAAATATGTTTGCTCCGAAAACCCGAATGATACTCACAAAGGACCCTATTACTCTCCTAATAATTCACTATCTGTTCATATACAGCCCTTTCCAATACTTTAGATGAAGCCATTGTATGGCGAAACACGTGTTGCGTTTTTGTAAAACAATTTAGTGAAAATCTCACAATAAAGTGTTTTTGGAATACGTTAACACATTTTGATCATGTCCATAAACAATAAATTTCCTTCAATTGTCCACCTTTTGCCTTGAGTTCCTCTGTTTTACATTCATTTTTTGTGGATTGCCTATCAATTTTTATTTTTATTGAAGGACATGTTAGATCTAAAGCGTATAGTAATATATTGAAAAAAATCGAGTATACTTCGTTTATTTCTAAGCCGCTTTCATACATAGATTGGTAGTTTTCGTTACTTAAAAATTCTTTTAATTTCGATAACTAATTATCTATATTCATATCGCCACATATTATAATGTTCTAGTATCCTGGTTCAGGATTTATGAAAATCTGCCTATGAAAGTGTCTACTGACCCCCCGGGTGGTCTATATAAATTGAGTACACAGTATTTCTCGTTTCCAATCAAGAAACCAAGACTAGAGTGCTCTATGTGCATCTCATCCTCTTTAGACCTAACACTCCTCAAATCACTGAAAATAATATTTTCTGCGGCCATCTTGTCATCAAAACTGAATGTGTGTATAAAACTTCAGATCAATCTATCATAGAAATTATCCCATATGAAAACCAAAAACCTTCTAGATCTACCTACTCTCCACATTTTTCTGGAGAGAGAGGCTAGATGGACTGCATATAGACTTGTGCACATTGCCAATTGCACAAATCAATTCAATGCAGAGTACAACAGACTGTTGGTTGAGACTGGAACTCACAGCTCAAGCCGCATACACGTTGTTGGACAATATGTATGCGGCTTCCTTGAATTTTCTTCTATTCAGCCAAGCTAGTATTCAGCCAAGCCAGCGTAGAAATACGCAACATATGGAAACCCATCATCAAGCGAAAAATGGCCAACTCCCGCCAAAACGATCATCTCCCACGGAACCTGTGAAGCGGAAAATGGAAAGCGGAGATAAGTGAAAGTACTCGAACGACCTATAAATAGTCATCTCTCGGAGGAATCAGTCCAGTCATCACCCGAAGACGATTGTAAATACTAACAATCGAAACGTCGTGAAGTAACGTGACTTCACGTATTTTACTTGTATTTTATTCCACTATTATTTCATTTCCGTTGACAGCCTGGCACTAAGGAATGCAAGAAGTATGAATGGGATCGGGATAATAGTAGGAAATGAAAGGAATGG